ACTAGAACTTCGGGAGTTTTTCCTGAAGTCAGTCACTAGTGAGCAGTTGTTTATTATCAGAATGGGTTTTGTGGAGATTTTAGAAATTTCACAGATTGAAATCATGAGTCAGTTGAAGCTAGACTACCATTGAATATGATATTAACTAACGTTACTCAATGATCAATCAATTAGACATGACATGGTTTTTCTATTGATTTAGTTGAACTTATATGACCTTAAGTTGGAAATCATTTAAATGAATCCTTCAAATCATAGTTAGTATTTATTATGAATGAGTTTATTCTATATTATAGTTTTTGGTATAATATAGAATTCTTAACGTAAAGTATTTCAGTGAGTTTCTCATTTCTTGATCGAACCTGATGATAACATATTATTGAGTGGTTGCCAGTTAGAAGGTTAGTACATTCTTTTCGTTGTATATTGCCATCAACCACAATATCTGTGATTGGACTTTGTTTGCAACTTGTGAATATTATAGTAATTTTAATAGTTGAGATCATGAGTCAATTGAAGCTAGACCACTGTAGAAAATCTGGAAGCACTCGACGACCATTTCGTCCTATGTGGGACTCTTGAGCGGCAGTGCGCATCCACGATCCCGCCTCGCAAGATTCGAATCCAAGACCTATCAGTGTCGCGCGCGAGCGCTTAACTATTAGACCACTGAGCTGGCCGGTATCCAATAGTGTTAATGTTTAACTTCAATCAATCCACGAAATTGCTCCTACGTACACCATTGTCTTCAGTGAGTTGATATCTCACAATAGACCTGGTTGTACTCCACTGGTCACTACTTCTCACTAGAACTCCAGGGAATGCCTCTTGAAGTCAGTCACCAGTGAGCATATGATCATCATGAGAAGGGGATTCGCGGGTGAGACTGATAGTTCCTGGGTTTGAATATCACGGGGAACAGGATCGTAGATACGCATTGGTGAGGAGTCCCACAATAGGATGAAACGGTTCTTCAATTGACTCATGTTTTCAACTATTAAATGTTAAATGTTTTTCAACTTTCATTGGATAATCAGTTCGTATGTTTGTTTTTTTTTTCTTGTATAGGAAACAAATCCTCATCAATCACAACAGTACAATAATGATACATCATTAACAACAACAACAACAAATGAATTAGCTGAAAAACTTCAACGTCGTTTAGATAAAGTTACTAAAGCAACGATTGAATAATTTCATTATTGAATTCTGTATTCATGAAGTAACCAAGGTTTCTTGTTATCATTATTATTAATAAGGTATTACATAATTCTTAATGGTGTTCACTAATTATTCTTTATTTATATGAATGATCTTTATTTTCTGGCTACTGATCACGCTTGTTTAGATAATAGTTTTAACTTATTCTGTTTCTATGGTGCCTTTTATTTAGAATTCAGGTAACTGTGTAGTATTATTATTATTATTATTATTATTAATAGTAGGGTATAACAGCTATTATGAAGTGTATACTTGTGAGAACTATAGTATAGTATAGTATGTGCTACTGATGTTGACAGATATAAGTAGTATGTGTATGGTCAATCGAAAATAGAAATGCTTGACGTCAGTAAGTTGAGATCGTCGAAGAGAACAACAACAACAACAACGAATGATTGATATGAAAACGAAAGAATCATCAAATCTAAGCCAATGAATGAATATCTCTACAATTCAATTATTTACTGTATGATCCAATAAGATTTCAATAAGACATTCTATTATTTTGTGTATTCTTATTCAATACACTATTCATGCTTTATGCACCTTATTCATAATCGAATCAAGATCATTGATGGTGTTTGTTTTTTGTTTTTCTTTTCTCTTTGATATTTCAATGCTATTGAATATTGATCATTTGTTTGTTTGATCGATTCATTGATTTGAACATGATTGATTATTGATCTATTTTATTGCGTCTTGAATAAATCTTACCTGAATACTATTGATCTGATGGAATTATTGACAATCATATCAAATCATTAACTCTATATTATTACTTCTATAATAAATCGATAATGATAAATAATCATTAATAATTATTCAAATAATGATAATCATTTCAATGATTAAAAAAAAACTTTACTCTTTCCATTCTATGTATCTTCAAATGACGTATATTTGTTTAATTAGTTGAGTTAATTTTATTAATGATTGTAATATTCTTCAAAGTTTATAATACATATTGGTTGTGAGGACCGTGAGATGATAGGAATCGATGGTTACAGACCTTGAATGACATGGTTGACAATCGTTTGCAATGGTGCAAGTGCATACACACTCTTTGTAGTCTTCCAAATTTTGATCTTCTGATTCCTCCTTGTCTCGTTTTTCTTTTCCCAAGTTTATTTCACTGGATTATACTCTTTAAATAACATCTTCAAACCCTAATCTTTCCGATTACTGCTTATATTCTTACCGCCTCTATCACTACGGGATTTGAATCGACAATTGTATCTGTGTGGTAATGTGGTATGACAACTCGAACTGATGTACGTATGTACGAAGTTCTACGTTGTTACTGACTGACTATAATACAAACTAATTCAATGATAAGTTATGTGATATTGTACATTTACAATTGATTAATTACTGGGTAGAGGTGATCAATATCATACGTGTCAGGTCCTTCTTAGTGTACATTGAATCCTATCGATCAAGTTATAATGTGGCTATTAGTCTGTCTAGGTGATTCAATTATTGCATGCAATGTTGTTAAGATTAAGATAGTGGGTGAAGGTAGTCAATAGGAAATCTTGGACCTAGGTTTTTCATTTAAACACATAAACATTGATACAAGAACGCAACAAATAGATATACGCCACATAAACCATTTGATCTGTGTGAGGGCTGGGATACTTCTCGAGTGCCTAAATCGAAGAAGGTGGTTTTCTTAGGAAGCCACATCTAGGAGCCTTCGACCTAGAGGTCTGATCCACAAGACAGTGGAACAAGGTCATGACATTCACTCCCATGGTAGCTGATGACCAACAATAGGTTCATACACCATTAGTTCCCTCAGGATCCTGAAACCAGCCCATGTGCATCGTTGGTTTGGAATCAGGGTTTTTCAACTCCCCTAGGTGGACCCCCCATATCCACCGACCCGGTTCAAGCGACAGACATTCGCTTTTCGTTCTCTCAATTTCGTAAACAATAGTATTGCCACGGGAAGGCAGTGAGTAGGACTTGTATGTCAGTGGTTGTATGCATGTGGTCTTGTGGGAACATTTCAAAAGGCAGAGCTGACTCTTCCCACTCTCAGCCGTATTACATCATTTGAGGGCAACTTTATCTATGACTATCATATTGGGATGATCCAGAAAACTTCTCGCAAAAGACAAGAAAGCCTCAAGAAACACTGAGAAGCATTTTATCCAATCAGCGTTCACTTGAAGTTTAGCCAGAAATATCAAGAAAGTGAAAAGTCACATGTAGGGTTTCTGATTGGCTAACTACTATTATGTTGAGTAGCATTCCAGAAATTTCGGGGAACACAAGGACATCTAAAATACTATAAAAACTCTAATATTTTCTTTATTAAAACGAATCACTGGAGTTAATTGCTTCTCGTGTATTTTGCGCCTTTTCTCCCGTGTTCAGATCGTTGTGTCGTTCTAACTTGGGCGAGGGGGGGGGGTTACGAGAATAGCTTAGGAACTGAATATAGCATACAATTAGCAATACTTATCATTGATAACTTAAACTATTAAGCTGTAATTCAGTAATCTTCATTCATGACTAGATGAAAGGATAATCCAATTTCATCTATAATACCTATTTCACTCTTTGTATAATTGATTATTCAGTAGTCATGTAAGCTTGTCCAAGTTATTTGTTTTCAATTTTTCACCATAAAATTATATTATTTGATAATCATGAAAAATTGAAGAGCCCCAGGAAGCTTTTCATTCTAGTTTAAGACTCTTCTACAGTGATCATACAGGATTCTGAAAGGAAGAAGACCATTAGGTCTCATAGATGGATGGATTGACTTGGAAAGTTATTTGTTCCCATTAAAAAGATTTAGCTCACAATCCCGTGTGAAAGATAGATTTCAACAGTATGTTTAAAAAGAAAAGGGATAATTTTTTTGTTTACTCATTTATAGAGTTAAAATGTAAGAATATCCTAAAGCAATTCTAATTGAAGTGTTAAATTCTTGTAGTAAAATTCAGTATTTTACAATATAATCCCACAATAAGCCCCCAAATGCCCTGGTACGGCCGAGAGTGGAGAGAGTCCGCTCACCCTCTCGGAATGCTCTCACATGACCACGCGTATATAGCCTCTGCCAGGGAAGTCATACTCACTGCCTTCTCGTGGCATGGGATGTTGTTTACGAAATTAACAGGACGAAATGTGAATGTCCATCGCTTTAACCGGGTTAGTGGACATGGAGAGTTCACCTAGGGGAGTTGGAAAACCCTGGTTCCTAACCAATGGTGCACATGGGTTGGCTCAAGTATCCTTAAGGAACAAATGGAGTATGAACCAATCATTGGTCACCGGCTACCATAGGACTGCATTTCCTTACGTTGCTCCACTGCCTTGTGGATCAGACCTTCAGGTCGAAGGCTCTGAGTGTGGCCTCGTAAGTAAACCACCTGCTTCGATTTGGATACTCGACAAGTATCACAGCCCTCGCACATATCAAATGAGATTTGTGTAGCTCATATGTATTCGGTGCCCCTTTGTACCAATATCTATGTGTTATAATGAATAAATAAATAAATAAAACGAATTGTTACTTTTTAGGGTAGATAGATAAATGAGAATAAATGACTACTTCCTAATCATTAAATTTATAAATCAATCAGCCATTTCTCTCATATTCAGATCGTTGTATCGTTCTAACTCGGGGCAGGGGGGGAGGGTTTACGAGAATAGCTTAGGAATGGAATATAGCATTCAATTAGCAAGACTTATCATATAAGTAAACGTTTACACTGTTGCCTTGGCAACAAGTCTATCAACTCTATAATCATAATTGAATATATATAGTATAATCATTACTATATTATGTTATTATTTTACAAAATAATTATCCATAATACATACAACTTGGTAACAAAAAAAAAACTATCCATCCACATCTATTATGTGAAAGTAAATAGTGTACAATATTATGATTGATCATAATAATCAGAAGAAGAAGAAGAAGAAAAAATAGGAGAAGGGATCAAAATAACTGGCATAGAAATGCATTTGAATAAATACTCATTATTGATAATCATCTATAATCATAAATCATAAATACATTTAATTCAAGTTACATAATACATTGTGTGTTTTCAAAAAAAAAACCAACAATAAAGGTATTCAGTAGAGCATTCAAAAAGAAGACTCCTATCATTTGTTGCTAGGTACAATGAAGAACAACACAATTTCCAGATTAAACAAGCTATTTCTGTTTGATGTTAATATACTACTCATATATGTCGATGGATATCAGTAGTATATACCATTATGTGTATACATATTACAACGATATGTGAATTATAATTGGAATGTTTATTTTTCTATTGAATTTATATGATAAGAAATGTAAACCGATAATACAGATGATCATTGAATAGAATTAAGTTGGATTAATGAACAATGTAACTCTATCTGTGTAGTTCTTCTCGAGTTCATACCGATTCCAAGTTTGGATAAAAGGAGGAAGGTTAGCAACTCTATCCCGTAGAAAACTCATTTGCTCCACACAAAAAAAACAAAACGCTAATGGAACAATGACCCTATCACTGTATACACAAATATACTATTCATGGGATAAAGATGAAAGAGAGAGAGAGAGATGATCAAAAAACGAAATCGAGTTTAATGTAGTTGCTTAATTCAATGAATATGATTCATTGTGAATGAAGACGATGTTGTTGGAGATGATGATGAAGAGGATGAAGATTTCGGTCCAATTCTTAATTCTTTTTCATTAACAATAATCTGGAAATAAGTACAAAACATAACAACTGTACGATTGATCTTTTTTTTATTTGAACACATAGATATTGGTACAAGAACGCAACAAATATATATACGCCACACAAATCTCATTTGATCTGTGTGAGGGCTGGAATACTTCTCGAGTATCCACACCGAAGAAGGTGGTTTTCTTAGGAAGCCACATCTAGGAGCCTTCGGCCTAGAGGTCTGATCCACAAGACAGTGGAACAAGGTCATGACATTCACTCCCATGGTAGCTGATGACCAACAATAGGTTCATACACCATTTGTTCCCTCAGGATCCTAAAACCAACCCATGTGCATCACTGGTTTGGAATCAGGGTTTTTCAACTCCCCTAGGTGAACCCCCCATATCCACCGACCCGGTTAAAGCGACAGACATTCGCTTTTCGTTCTCTCAATTTCGTAAACAATAGTATTGTCACGAGAAGGCAGTGAGTATGACTTCCCTGGCAGAGTCTATATACACGTGGTCATGTGAGAGCATTTCGAGAGGGAGAGCGGACTCTCTCCACTCTCGGCCATACCAGGGCATTTCGCGGCCAAGATTGATATACATTCTAGGTTGTAGAATAGAGGGAAACTCCTCTCTTTGAAAATGATTAAGAGTTCTATTACTAATCATAATAGATGTAGTAGTTTATTAAGGAGTATTCGATAATTCTTTGAAGTAATCTTTAAAATATTTCGATCAATCAACGTTTTCTTTTTGTTAATTGTTGAAAGATTTCAAAATCATTCTTGAAAATTATGATGGGTACTTTGATTATACCTGATTGAACAGTTACAATTAGTGATTGTCTATGATCATACAGTCATGAATAATCTTATCAATCACCTTGTTCTCTTTAATACAAACACATTGAAAGTGATAGTTCTTCAATACTTTGTAAAGGTTTCTGCCCCCAAATGCCCTGGTATGACCGAGAGTGGGGATAGTCCGCACTCCCTCTTGAAATACTCTCGCACGGGGCCACGCGTATACAGCCTCTGACAGGGAAGTTCTACTCACTGTCTTCTCGTGGAAATACTATTGTTTACGAAAATGAAAGGACGAAAAGCGAATGTCCGGCGCTTTAACTGGACCCCAAACCAATGGTGCTCATAGGCTACAGTATCCTGAAGGAACGAATGGCGTATGAACCAATCGTTGGTCACCGGCTTCCATGGGACTGCATCTCCTTACGATGCTCCATTGCCTTGTGGATCAGACCTTCAGGTCGAAGGCTCGGGGTGTTGCACCCTAAGAAAACCACAGCCCTCACACATATCAAATGAAATTTGTGTGGCGCATATGTATTTGGTGCCTTGTTGTACCAATATCTATGTGTTGAAATAAATAAATGAATATAAAGGTTAAGTAAAGTAAAATTTACTGTCAACTACCTTTACCTACAATCAACTCTTAACAATGATAATGATATATTTTTTAAATTAAATAGATAAACTTACTTCTTCTTTTAATAAATTACTTAAATCAACTCGATAACGATCTAATGCATCACGCATAGCACGATATTTTGCTTCATGTACACTTGACATTAGATTGTAATAATATGTAAGAAGTACCAGACAAGTTGATAAGAAATCACTAAACATAAAGAGAAAGAAGAAGAGCAGTAGACAGTGTCATGAGAATATATCATCAGTGATAAAACAATACATCATTAATCAGTCAATCAATCAGTTCATAAGCAATGCAGAACATGACATATAAGTAAATCAGTAGTACAACAAGTTATCATACCCTAAAAGTAAAGTGAGATGAAATAATCAGGACAACATATTGATGATTAAAAAGTATCAATTCATTTTGGAAGTTAATATCTAAGAGAAGACCCGACCGTTATTACTACCTTGACGTGGTGGTCGCGCTTGCCTATCGTGATGAAGCAACTGAGCTATACTGGCTGGAACAACCGTTACTCAAGGTCCTACCATGTCAGACAGGTCGGTTGGAGAGCAGTAAGACTAAAAGCAACAAACCTAAGGTCCGAAGGCGAAGTCGTACTGCTGACTGTACAGAAGTGTGATAGCAGTAAGGTGTTTCCTTCAGACAACCAGTATGACAGCGATGCTGCCTCCCCAGAAGGTGTGGTGGGGTTAGAAAAGGTCGACCCTAAAAATGCACACCTCGCCTTATCCCACGAATATCCGTCTCCGGCGGTAAGGTCCCAAAAAGTACGGAGCTAACACAAAAATTACTCATAAAAAGGTCATGTGTAGCCGATTTCAAACAATTATCCTTTGGCCACTGCAGTCAGGTCTCTAAGACCACCTCTAATCCAATTTCCTTTTCAGATACCAATAAAAAAGCCCATCCATGGTATGGGCAACTGGGAAGTGATAACCTTTCTGTTGGAATATTCAGGAAAATATCCCAAAAATTATTTTCCTACTGGTCAATATTGTACAATGTTATTTTCTATTTTGTGGTACGATGTGGTCTGTTTGGTTGGTATATAAACAGAGTATGTTTGAAATATAACGATTCATAACTCAGAGGCTGAGACTTGTGTTCTGGACTCAATTGGCTGGGCTAGACAGGGAAGCGGGACCAATCAGAACCCTAGGCCGTTCTTACGTGTTTGCGCGTCTTTGGTCCGATCGATAATTCGCTGTCTTCTAATCTGCAGCATCACAGTATAGCTTTTTCTCATACCTCTAACAGCACTCAAGACCACTGAATTCATAATCTAAGAGAAGATAATGAATGAATGCATTTCTACTAATCATTAATTATGATAATTATGAGAATCCCAACAAATTGATGCAAGCCTATTTACATGATTTAGTTAAATAGACGTTGATTTCATGAAGAATTGTCACAGCTTGATATGACTATGCTGTTTAGATTTCTCTCAAATCGCTTTTTAGAATTATAACAAGTATAGAAGGTATATTCTCACAGTGGACCTCCCATTACTAACTAATTATCAAAGAATAATATAGAAGTGTAGTATAAACATTAAGCCCCCAAATGCCCTGGCTTAGCCGAGAGTGAGGAAAATCACCTCTCACTCTCGAAATGCCCTCACATGTCTACACGTATACAGTCACTACCACAGAAGTCCTACTCATTGCCTACTAACCACTGGAGTATTGTTTATCAAATTGAGAAGACGAAAAGCGAATGTTCGGCACTTTAACCGGGTTGGTGCACAAGGGCTCCAGGATCCTGATAGAATAAATGATGTATAAACCAATTATCGGTCACCGGTTATCATGGAACTGCATCTTCTGATGTTTTTCTACTGCCTTGGGGATCAGACCCTTAAGTCGAAGGCTCGGGGTGTGGCCTCCTAAGAAAACCACGTGCTTCGGTCTGGGCACCCGGGAAGTATCACAGCTCACACAAAAATCAAGTGACTTGTGTGGCGCATATGCATTCAATGCCTTTCTCTGTAGCAATATTTTTTGTTTTCAAAAAAATAAATAAATAAACATTAATATTAAAGCAAACAAACTATCTGGGATCAACAAAAGTATATATTCGTCATTACAGGGTTGTGGAGCTTGTTGGGTTTTATTGAAACCATGAAACCAACAATTGTAGATCACCATTAAAAACCTGGAAACATTAAAATGTTGTTTCGTCCTAGTGTGAGAAATCTTCAGCAGTGTGTATTCACAACCCCACTCACCGGAATCAGACCTAGAACGTTAAGTCTCTCGTGAATGCTGAGATGAGATCCAACGACATTAATGTCTAACTTTAACCAATCCATAATGTTGTACAACCATTTTCCATTGTCTTCAATAGATAAACTATTTCACACTCAACACAATTGAGCTCCATTGGTTACAGATACTCATTAGATCTTTACGAGTAATATTGTGGATATAAAACTTAAAGCCTAACCCCTTTAACCAACCAACCATCCACCCCCCCCCAAAAAAAACCCAATCATATTCACTTACAAAAATAACTCTTTCAATCGATTAACTTTACTGATAGGATAAAATGATTGATTTTCCAGTTTTAAAAATGCTTGAGCATAAGCCATTGGACCAGCATTCACTGTAGGTAATAATGCACCTTGTAATTGCATATCCATTAATAATGGTATTTTATAAGTAGATATTTTTGAATGATTTCCATTAATACTACTATTAATAGTATTAGTAGTAGTAGTAGCAGTTGTTGTTGTTATGACATTAGGAATGTTTGAAGAAGTATTTGTTATTACAACAGGTGAATGCAAATTAAGCATATTGATAGAGATACGTTTATCTTCATTCAATGTTGGATTAGCTATTTTTAAAAAAAATAATAATAATGAATAATTAGAAAAGTTGATGATAAACCTACCGTGTGAATAGTCATGAAAGTCAAGTAAAACCGAGACCTATACATTCCATCAAGATCATAATGAAACAGTAAATTATCAATATAAGGTTGTGGAGTTGATTAATTTTTTGATTGAGATCATGAATCGATTGATGTTAGATCATCATTGAAAACCTGGAAGCACTGGACGGTTGTTTCATCCTATTGTGGGACTTGTCAGTGCGCATCCACAATCCCGCTCACAGGATTCGAACCCAGTGCTTTTAGTCTCGCGGGCGAATGCTTAACCTACTAGACCACTGAGCTGGCCAGCATCCAATGATGTTTATGTCTAACCTCAACCAATCCACGAAATTGGGCGACCATCTTTCATTGTATTAAGGTAGATAGATGCGCACTCCTGAGGAGCACCACAATAGGACGAGACGGCCATCCAGTGCTTCCAGGTTTTCAATGGTGGTTTAACACCAATCGGTTCAAGATCTCAATCAGAAACAGTAAATCACTGATGAAAACAATAACTGAAGAATTGATGTAAGTATTGATTGATGAAACGCTTATTCAGTGATTTAATTGTATCGGGGTTGTAAAGAAACCTGAAGAAAGAGAATTCGATTACATATGCGCTAGAAAGTGAGTACAGAAAATAATTATCCGACCTAAGATAATACACGAGTTCCGTGTACCTCTAATTTTAGTTCGTGAAGAAAACTTCTTCTAAGTAAATAACTTCGATTAAATGTGATTGTTTAGATGTTCACCTTGGAAGAATACAATCTCATTGATTACAACCTTCATATTGACTCAAACCATGAAGCTTCAAGTATTATACCCAACTATTTAGTCCATTTATTGAATTTTATCATGTAGATTTGCACTAGCTGGACCAACATGATATTGAAAAAAACACGTCCCATAGTCGAAAAATAATAGATATATGCAGTTATTCAGATATGAAGACTGTTATCAGTCATCTAAAAATATGAAATACATGTGTGAGGACAATCCATCGAAGAACTCAAAGAACCTCGGAAAGAACCGAACACATTCCATCCAATCATCTTTTGGAAGAATATTCCAGAATCCCTATTGGACGAATGCTGTTGCGTGAGAACCAACAAACCAGAGGAAAAGAGTCTGAGGAAATTTGTTTTGGAGAAACACAGACAAGTGTTCACGGAAGAACTGGAGGAATGCGAAAATGTTAAAGAAGAGGAGGTGCTTGTAGCTGCCGTAGATATCGAGGCTGAGGTTCACACAGTATTGGCAGACGCAGTTTCCGGATTCCCAGTCACATTTGAAGCCATTAAAGAAGCTAGTGAGAAGGATAATGCGTTGAAGATTATTTGACAGTTGTCAATTCGTGCATTTGTAGTAAGCCCATTTGACTACTGTATTATTTATCTGCTCATTGTAATTTAGACACTTAATCCACTACGTAAATTTCTGTGTCAGTATGATTAATGGAGTGATTCGTTAATTGTAGTGTTTCTATTAAGTCTAGACCCAGCAAATCTAGTCCTGGGTTCTCTGTGAGATATACCGTTGCATTCGTTTTTGCGTTTCCTTTTGAAACTGTACAACAAACCTCTTCAACAATATTTAGTTTCCTTCCAGATGCACTATGAGCTAACTGGGTTGTTGAGAGCATCTGTGGTTTTCCGATAAGCTTCCAGGTTCTTTGACTAATAAGTGTGATGTCGGAAGTAGTATCGAGCTGCAGGCGGGCACGCTTCTTATTTATATCTAAGTTTACATATTTTCGTTGACGGTAAATTTGTGCTCGATTATGTGATACCAATATTTTGTTAGTTTGAGCACTATATCTGTATTTCTTGGAGTATGATTTCGAAGAATTTCATTTATGGGTTCGTTTTCTGTAGCTAGTTTCTTTATGGCCCTTCTGATGACATTTACTAAAAACAATGTTCTTTATATGGACAGAACCTCTTGTAATGCCATCCTCCACATGACCAACATGGAGATGAGGGCTGATTGTCTGTGTGCGATAATTTTCTTGAGCAGGAATCTTTCTTTTCACTTACAACATGAACGTATGACAACAGGCTATTATTTTCAATCATGGAAGTGTCATGTTTCAAGTTTACCAATATCTGGTACTCCGTGATTACTTCCTGTAGTGTTATATTCGGGCATTGTTCAATTTTACTCAAAACGTCTGGTCCTAACATCAGCATCTTCGAGAAACTGGAGGCTGCACACAAACACGAGACACTTAATCTGATCTGTCATTGCTGATAGTTTGGACCGCTCACACCCACACTTTACTAAACCCGCATGCTTCACACAGTCATCATTACCTGCTTTTGTTATCTTGAGATATTGATAACGTATGTTATACAAGGATGACTGTTCAGCAAAGATTTGCGACAAAATATCAATCGTTGCATCAATAGAAAAATCTCTTGGGTTCTTTGGAAGGATGAAGTTACTGTAACGTTCATGTTCAACTGTGCCAAGTTTTCGCAAGAGTATTCTGACCTTGGCGGTTCATCAAGTGTTGTGAGGTCAACCTTGAACAAATCTCCATATTTCTTGAACCAGGTTTCAAAAGTAATGCCAGCCAACTCATCGAAATTAAATTCATGGATAGAATTAATAATGTGGTCGGCATGAGATTTGAAAGAATCATCTGTAACCCCTTTTTGATTTAGGTTCATTTGCTGGGTTCGCGTCTCTATAATATGAATCTGGAACTGTTCGAAATATTTTTCTTGATCCTCCAGCAAGGCTTCAAAGTGTTCAAAGGTAAATGACATCTTGATAAGACAATCCGTCGTCAGTTGTTAGATCTAGAGCTTAGATTCCTAATTTGCCGCGCATATCTTGAACACTCGAACGCTAGAACCCTCCCAAGTCGCAAATGAGAAGACAGAAAACTAGTGAAAGGATTGTTATTTCAGACAGTGCCAATTATGGTACAAAAATGTCAGTTATTTATAGTTTTTAGTAAAAACGAAATCACAACTATAGTTATCCAATCCGCACACAGGGAGTTATCAGCATTCTTCTAATAGGGAAGCTACACGTAGGGATTCTGGAATATTATTCCAAAAGATGATTGGATGGAATATGTTCGGTTCTTTGAGTTCACCCGTGAACCATCTTCACAATTGTAGGCCTAATGATTAATACTTCCAGTTCGTTTCTCTCCTTTATATACCACGACGATCATCTAGTGTCTCCAGTAATAATAGTCAAACTATCAACATGATTTCAAATTCTTTGAACACATCAATATACATGTAATATGGATAATCATACAGAACTAGCTTAATGAAAGTGTAAACTGATATTAATCATAAATCACTTATAGGTCAACTGCATTTAATTGGGTTAATGGGTCTATTTTTTATAAGAATAGAGTGGTATTTGTTCGTTTCATTCAGTAGTCCAATACACTTTCTCAATTATTCTTATGTTCTCACTCAAGTAGTCAGTTCGGAGGAAAGGAGGGTTAACGCAAACGATACAATGTTTTATGGACTGTGTTGTTTCTTTGTTTGTTTTACCGAAAAGTAAATCAATCAATACTGTAGTAAATAGATTGTATACATGAACAAATATCAAATTACACATTATTTCAGTTTTAATCTCTTTTTTTATGATTTCAATGGTTGAGATCATGAGTCAGTTGAAGCTAGACCACTATGGAAAACTTGTAAGCACTGGACGGCCGTTTCGTTCTATTGTGGGACTCCTCAGTGGCAGTGCGCATCCACGACCTCGAACCCAGCGAGATTATTATAATTTGAAACAGGAAGAAAGAAATACTATTTGCATTGACAAAATTACAACAATGAAGATGAGAGAAAAAAAAAGAATATATTCATCACAAAAACAAGCATCTATCAAAAAAAAGACCCCACCTCCATCCACCCACTAGTAACTCATTTACTAAATACAGATTTATATTATTGAAATCATGAAAATATTCAAGTTAGACAACCGTTGAATACCTAGTATTGTGTGTATCTACCAATTCGCAATGGGGAATCTGATCCACGACCTTCGGTTTCGATTGAATCCCAATATGTACATGGTCTAAAACGTTCATGTGAAAGATCGGTTTGTGATTTCAATAATATTAATCTGTACTTGATAAATGAGTTACTAGTGGGTGTTTCCTCTGGTAGCCTTTAGTTTTTGTTATGAATATACTCTTTTTTAACATATCTATTGGTTAGATGAGCAACGCCGAGGAATCTCATCCTAGTACGACATGACCATTCAATGTTTTCAGGTTTTTAATGGTTATCCAGCTAAGATCAGTTCGTGATTTCAATGAAATTCGATTATCTCAACAACATAATGCTAAAAGATTTGTATGTTGGATGGTTGAACACAGTAAAAAAACAATCCTGAACCTATGTGCTGATAAAATTTGATTAACACCATAGAACTAAACAAACAATAATTGTAACTACTCATTGATTGATCAATTGTACAGATTTATACATTCAACATTGAGTTACAGAGTTCAGTGTAATAACTGGAGTGATTGTAATGAAGCTATGAAGGGGAGGGGAAATCTGACTGTTTTAACCACTAGGTGACCATCACCAACATCATTTTACAAAACTCCTATAACTTCAGGTTGACATAACACTGACTATTATTCCATTTGACGGTAGTAATCTTCATTCAGTTGTAATAATAATAAACAATAACTTTACAAAGTTTTAAACATCAGAGTTCAAACAATCATATCAGATTCATCTCGAAAAAACCCTCAGGAGCGCGAATATAGAAGAGATAAAAGACCCAAGGGCAAAGCTGCACAATCTTCGAGAGTGATAGACCCCAAGAGGAATACGGTGACCAAGTTTCAGGTGGATCCAAGGAAAACGTCTTACACAACAGACTTAAAAGGCGGGAGGTGTGAGGATGGTCCACGGGTGAACGCGAAGAACCTCAGAAAGAACCGAAGACAGTCTTCTGGTCTTCTGTTTTCTCACTGTGACTTGGAAGGGTTCTAGCGTTCAAATGCTCAAGTTATACGCGTCATATCAAGAATATAAGCATCTAGAGATATAACACTTATAAAGTGATAATTAAGAAAAATATTATACATATGATGAATTCAGATAAAATACTTCTATTAATTCTTAACAGTTTGATTAAATCACATGAGAACAAAGTCAATATGTTTGAAATAACAATATCCGATAGAGAGACCAATGTTCATTATTTCAACTTAACTTCAACAACATTGTAATGATTGAGGTTAACACAGATGAAATATTCAAATGAAATGATCTTTTCGTTCATTAATCTTAGCTCTGTACTTTAATTCAAAGAAGCCTCCAAATACCCTGGTACGGTCGAAGGTGAGGAGAGTCAGCTCTCTTTCTCTCTCTCGAGACACTCTCTTATGAAATAGAGAGGACGAAAAGCCAATGTCCGGCGCTTTAACCGGGTTGGTGGATATTGAGAGTCCACCTAGGGCAGCTGGAAAACCCTGATTCTAAATCAATGGTGTACATGGGTTGGCTCTAGTATTCTGAAGGAATAAATGGCGTATGAACTGATTATTAATCACTGACTACCATACGATTGAATCTCCTGACGTTGCTCTACTGTATTGAGGACCAAACCTTTAAGTCGAAGGCTCCTAGTATGGCCCCCATACGAAAACGACCTGCTTCGGTTTGGGCACCACGAGCAGTATGATAGCCCACACAAAAATCAAGTGACTTGTGTGGTGCATATCTATCCGTTGCCTCCCTTTGAACCAATATTTATGTATTCAAATAAATAAATAAATAAAAATTCAAGGAAAATTATACAGTCAATCCCTTAGAATATAAACTTTCTAATCTGATATATAACTAACCTGAATAATGGTAAATGGTCAAATTATTACGTAGAGTTATTACATGGCTCATTAATTCCTGATTTTTACACTGTATAAACAAGAAATAATATAAAGCCGACTTTAATAATAATAATAATAATAAATGGATGGTTATGAACAAAAAACAAGTACTTCATTATGTGTCGATAGTTAATCACACGATGTCTTTCGACGCTCTCTCCAACTATCACATAATACATCTTCGAAGGTTTTGGAAATAGATGTAATAAACAGTGACATATCGTCTAGTGATGAATAATTAACAGATCGATATGGATTCCAATAAAAATATTAAAATAATAAAATATATCAGAAGGGTTTTGTAGATATTATAGTAATTTCAATGGTTGAGATCATGAATCAATTGAAGCTAGTCTATCATCGAAAACCTAAAAGCACTGAACGGCCGTTTCGTCCTATTGTGGGACTGCTTAGTGACAGTGCGCATCCACGATCCTACCTCGCGAGATTTGAACCCAGTACCTATCAGTCTCGCGCACGAACGCTTAGCCAATATACCATTGAGCCGACCGGTATTCAACGGTGTTAAAGTGTAAGTTCAACCAATCCACGAAATTGAGCGACACATCCACCATTGTCTTCAGTGAGTTACTATATAACTGCTTCTCACTAGAAGTATTGACCAATGAAGTTCAACCAGGTCTGTTGTGCTTCCAGGTTTACCATGGTGGATTACCTTCAATGTACTCATAATCTTGACCATTAAAAATTAATAAACTATAGTTTATTGTTAAATGACCAAGTGAATTTAAATTCACCCCATCGCACAAGCAAGTGGCTATCAGGACTCAGTAGCTAAGTGGATAACGCGATGGCGTTTGAAGCGAATGGTACTGGGTTCGAGTCCCAGAGTGAACATCAACAAGTCTGAGATGCAGGCACATCCAGCTGACGAGTCCCAAATAGGATGAAACGCGCGTCCTGGATTCCACTGCTAGCCACTATCCATCATTGCTTACAAAAAAACTCGATTATAAACCTTTAACAAACTTTGAACCTCAAACTATATCTGTCTAGATGATGAGTAAACTGTGTACAACTAAAATCATAAATTCATAAAGCTTGTTAGTAGTGTTCTACGTTCGCTGATGTACATTTCTCAAAACTGATGAAAATGACTAGGTTGTTATTAAATGAATATTGTGGATATTGTTAGAACATTAATATTATATTGATTTCAATCGAGTGGTCTGAAGGTTGAGGGCCTGTTGGATGCCTTAAAAGTCCTAAGTTTGACCGCTCTGTGAGGAACTACACATGTTAACTGTCAAAAGGAAAACCAGATGCTTCGTTATTCTTGAATTTTAATGGTTTCTCAATGCAAGTCAACAAACATGATGCAAAAATACAAACAATTAAGTTATCAGAACGGACTGATTAAGGTTTTGTTTAGTTATAACCTAATTCATAAAACACTGCCCCCAAATGCCCTGGTACGGTCGAGAGTGGGGAGACTCCGCTCTCCTTCTCGAAATGCTCACACACGGCCGCGCGTATATAGCCTCTGACAGGGAAGTCCTAATCAATACCTTCTCGTGGCATTACTGTTGTTTACGAAAATGAGAAGACGAAAAGTGAATGTCCGGCGCTTCAACCGGATCCCAAACCAAATTAATGGTACACATGGGCTCCAGTATTCTGCGGGAACAAATGGTGTATGAACCGATCGTTGGTCACCGGCTATCATGAGACTACATCTCCTTACGATGCTCCACTGTTTGTGGATCAGACCTTCAGGTCGAAGGCTCGGGGAGTGGCCCCCTAAGAAAACCACCTGCTTCGATCTGGGCACCCGGGGAGTACTCCAGCCCTCACACAAATCGAATGATTTATGTGGTGCATATGTATTTGGTGCCTCCTTGTACCGATATCTATGTGTTAAAATAAATAATAAATAAGTAAAATCATCAAACACACACTGCAAAGTTCCCTGAAGTTCAACTGCAACTCAATATTAGTAAATAAACAAGTTAAAAACACAAGAAATCCTCATGGTACAAATCTGGGCTCTTTGAAACTGATCACGTCGAGATAGTGACATAATTATTATTCAATGTCATAGAATAATAGTCATAACTTGGCTGAAGATGGAAATATACACCAATAATCTGGTCCTACAGGTAGACCGTTGAAGAGACAATGAACAGTTGTCTAGTGTTTCTTTATATTTCAGGATTCTCCAAATGAATTCAGTTAATAATAAAAATCATCTCTGAAAATTATTGACTAAGAATAAAAACATTTCACTTGTGAGAATAATTGAATCTTGAAAATACATCAGTATCAAAGATGTTTACAAGAAAAATAAAAAAAACATTTTATGTTCTACTTTGACTTACTTGTATAGCATCTATCGCTGAATCGATTGGAGTGAAATCAATCTCTGTTACTTGTATAATTTCAAGTCGACGACGTATATGCGGGAATGTTGCTTCAGTAGTTAATATTGTACGACGTTTCCATTGAATAGTTAAATCATCACTTTGTTTTGGACCTGGTGCTAATAGGCATTCTTCCGTCGATAAACCTATTCAAAAATTAATTATATAAAGAAAAACAAACAATAAATCAGTACAGTAATCTCGATAAATATGGAGTTCATAAGGAGATATGCATAATGTTAGTTAATTGAAAATAGTCGATAGGAATTAATACTCCCTGTGGAACCTGAACCTACATAAATCTGAGACCGCAATATTGAGCTATTGAGGCCAAGACTGACCTATCATAGGAATGCAATGATTATTCACTGATTACTGACCAATTTCATGTTTGTTTAATTCTCTAAATTATAATCGGATTGTAGAAATCAAAGTACGAATTACTAAAGAGTCGAAATGAGAAAGTCAATTTCATGTCGAATAACTTTTGAGTACTAATGAATTCATAGTCTTTGAAGATTGAGAGTCTTATATAACAAATCTTATTCAACATTATTAAGACAGACTATATCTATCAAAAGTCTGGATCTTAAATTCTATATCATTTATTTCAGGAAGTAAACATGAAAGGTCGTTGAATTTGAATTAGCAGCAGTTATATTGTTATTGAATGCACAACTAACCATGTTAGTGATATGAACTAGTTATCATTCAACCTGTGCACCATATTTTCTTATTAACCGGTAGATTCAACCGTTAACATCATTATTATCTGAATCATTATGGCATATATAAACGATTTTCATTTCCCATGATACAGAACAAGTTGTTACTATGATCATAAGATATGAGCATGGAAACAATTGATGAAATATGATTCCTTAATTTTATTTATTTATTTAAACACATATTTATTGGTACAAGGAGGCACCAAATACATATGCACCACATAAATCATTCGATTTGTGTGAGGGCTGGAGTACTGCCCGGGTGCCCAGATCGAGGGAGGTGGTTCGCTTAGAAGACCACACCCCGAGCCTTTGACCTAATAGTCTAACCCAAAAGGCAGTGGAGCATCATGAGGAGATGCAGTCACATGGTAGCCGGTGACCAACGATTGGTTCATACACCATTTGTTCTCGCAGGATACTGGAGACCATGTGCACTATCGATTTGGTTTGGAATCCGGTTAAAGCGCCGGACATTCGCTTTTCGTCCTTTCATTTTCGTAAACAAAACCCCCGTCACGATAAGGCAGTGAGTAGGACTTCCCTGACAGAGACTGTATACGCGTGGCCGTGTGAGAGCATTTCGAGAGGGAGTGCGGGTCCACCCCACTCTCGGCCATACCAGGGCATTTGGGGGCAATTCCTTTACTAACTTTGTATATATTCATCAACCTAATCATATGGGTGAACAACTAGAAATAAGTCAGATACAATAGTGCTGTAGATACATATTATTTTATAAGTGAGTCCATGCAGATAGAATTCAACGAGGTCAAACCTATCTATAAAGATAAATGAGTGTATAGACAGATACAGACCAGACACATAGATGAAAAAAAAATAGATAAAGAGTGATATGGGTAAACAGGGATAATCTTCTATGTATACATTATAATCAACAGAGTTACAATGAGGCATACAAAGGTCAGAAAAAGGTCACATAATAGATTGTATCAGCCTGTCATAATAGTTTATAATATGATCGTCACTAATTTGATTATGTGTCTATAATTCAAGTGAATATGGATCAATACATTATTATTAGATTGGATACTCAATCGATATGGTATACACAGAGTGGAATCACTTCATTCCTCCTAATAAACAATTCACAACCATATCAGTCAGTCAGTCAGTAACAACGTAGAACTTCGTACGTACGTACATCAGTTTGAGTTGCCATATCACAGTTGTACACGGATACAATTGTCGATTCGAATCCCATGGTGGTAGAGGTGGTAAAAGTATAAGCAGTAATCGGAAAAATTAGGGTTTGAACGTGTTATTCAAGGAGTATAATCCAGCGAAATAGATTTAGAAAGAAAAAAAAGAAATGGACATGAAGAATTCAGAAGATTAGATTTTGGAGGAACACATAGAGTGGATGCATCTGCTCACACCATTTCAAACGATTTTCAGCCATGTCATTCAAGGTCTCTAACCATCGGTTGCTATCATCTCGCGGATCCAAACCACGCAATCTTCACCGACATGACTAAGTCCACTTGCCAGTAACTTCATGGATTTGTGCCATTTTTTAGTCTGGTCACCCCTAGCTTTCTTCCAACCTATTCCTACACCATAAAACATCGCACGCTGGGGTAGTCGGTGGTTGGATATACGTAACACGTGTCCCAACCATCTGAACTCATGAAGTTTCATTACTTCATTAATTGATTTGACATTATTACCTAGTACCCGTTTCCTAACAACTGCATTACTTACTCGGTGGTTCCACGATATACGAACAATGTCTCGAAGACACCAAATATGGAAAAGTAAAGAATAGATCAGAGAATAATTTGTTTAATACAAATATTATTATCAATCCATATACACATTAAGTTCATAGTAGAACGGAATTAACATAGTACATAGTTAATAAGTCAAATATCTATCAGTTTATCTTCGTTCTATAGTCACATATCAGTTGTAGACAATTGTTAAGATTAAGATATCTTGGAGTTGTTTTAACAAATGAATCAGATACTGTTAGGAACATGACGTGATGAGTTGTAACCCGATTGGTAATTATCACTACGTAAACCTCCTTTAAAGTCACTTCAAACAAACTATTATCAAAGTACAACACACAATTGTTCAGGAAAATAGGATATTTTGCTATTGTACGTTACGTATTGTATTATCTGTTATGGACTGGCTAAGTAGGTCTTAACCTATATGATACTTTAGTGAAGCCTTTTAGATCAGACGATGTTGTCGACGAGCTCACCACTTTATTGGCCTGAGATCTGACTCCATTGAGATCGTTTCTGATTGCTATTGAAATATACATATTGTCATTCCTCTTATATAATTATCGATTTAGATCGCGTTAGTCAATAACGTAATTAAATAAGTCAAATATATATGAATTAATTTTGTACATTCAATGATCTGGACAGGAAATGAGAAGGATGAAGCGAATAGAAGAGACTAAAGTGAAATAATGCGCAGTATAGAAGGCTCTTAAACCTACTCGATTTCATCAAGTGTTAATCAATATTTATAGCCATACAAAAATAAGCTACAGATATGTGATGAATAGGATAAGAAGTGTATACACACACACGATCATATAAAAACAATCAGGATTAATAAGCGATTAATTAACAAGACCAAAATGTGACTCAAGAAGGATGAATAAATTGGCCTATCTGAAAGGTAGAATAAACTGTGTGAGCTTAACATAGTGTTAGGTCCCGATAAGCATAATGAATGGTAACATGAGGAATCTATTTATGGACCAACAGTATGCGCATATTTTTATCGTATAATTGTTAAGTAACTAAACTATCCATATCCACAATTGATTGATCACTGGGTAGAGATCAATGTCATGCGTGTCTAGTCCTTATTAGTATAGATCGAATGCTATCGATCATGTTGCTTGGATGCGGCTCGGATAGCTCGGTGGTAACGTCTCTGACTGTGAAGCTGGGTGAATCCGCCAGGGAGCACCAGTTCCCTCAAGAATACAGGTACACCTTGCTGACGAGTGCCAAGTAGAACGAAACCCGGGTCCAGGGCTTCCTGTTGACTACCTCTGACCACCATCTAAATATCCATATTCATATCCCTCTTATCATGAGCTTTATTTCGACCTATGAACTATCACTATATAATTTACCATTCTTGAATTATGCCCTGTCTATCGATTACTACCTTCCACATTCACAGGAACATCTGGCCAAATTTTGTACAAATGCTATTTTCTATTTTATGGTACGTTGTGGTCTGTCTCGTTGGTATATAAACCGAGTATGTTTGAAATATAATGATTCACATCACAGAGGCTGAAATTGGTGTTCTGGACTTAATAGGCAGGGTGAGGCAGGAAGCAGGACTCTAGGCTGCTCATACAGATTTACGCTTCATTGATCCAATCAATCATTCACTGCTCTCTAATTGGCGGTATCGTTAAATTATACATTAACAGGGCACACAGGCCGCAAGTTATAACACATAGCAACCAACACTACATAGGACATTTACAAAGTTTAATTTACAGAGTTAATAGACGCAGAACAAGCAAACAAACAAACAAACCAATAAAACATAAACAATCAAAAAGATATGCAAATTTCTTACCTGGTTGTCTTAGAAATGGTGCTTCAAACATAAATTGTCGTACATCATGATGTTTTTCATAAGATCTTAATGGTTTTTTATCAGAATCTTTTATTTCTTTATATGGTTCAACATAAGTAATCTATAGATAAATAATATAGAAAAAGAAATAATCATATTGAAGGGTATGAAGAATTCATGTATAGAAAATGTGTTAATTTATAGGTTTCACAAAAATAGATCTAAAGTTATTTTCATAGTTGAGATCATGAGTTCATTGAAGCTAGATCATTATGGAAAGCCTAGAAGCATTGGACGACCGTTAGGTCTTATTGTGGAACTCGCTAGGCGGGATCGTGGATTTGCACTGCTGAGAAGTCCTACAGTAGGACGAAACGTCCTTCCAGTGCCTCCAGGTTTTCAATGGAGGTCTATTGGTCTCACACTCGAACGCTTAACCTCTAGACCACTGAGCCAGCACCCAACGGTGTTAATGTCTTATTTATTATTTATTATTTTAACACATAGATATTGGTACAAGGAGGCACCAAATACATAAGCGCCACACAAATCTCATTCGATATGTGTGAGGGCTGTGATACTGCCCGGGTGTCCAAACCGAAGCAGGTGGTTCTCTCAGAGGGGCCACTCCCCGAGCCTTCGACCTAAAGGTTTGATCCACAAGGCAGTGGAGCATCGTAAGGAGATGCAATCCCATGGAAGCCGGTGACCAACGATTGGTTCGTACGCCATTTGTTCCCTCAGGATACTGGAGCCAACCCATGTGCACCATTGATTCGGTTTGGAATCCGGTTAAAGCGCCAGACATTCGCTTAACTTCAGCTAGACTTCTAAAGTTGATCGGCATAGTATAAACAATAATTCCTCCTTGATATTGTTTTACTTGAATCTTCCCATTGATGTTTTTTGGACTGAAATTGATCAGTCTCTTATTGGCATATGTGCATACTGTGCGTATGCCTCGATATTGCCTAAATTTACAAGCATTATAAGCAAAGATGGATAGTGGCTAGCAGTGGAATCCAGGACGCGCGTTTCGTCCTGTTTGGGACTCGTCAGCTGGATGTACCTGCATCTCAGAGTTGATGTTCACTCTGGGACTCGAACTCAGTACCGTTCGCTTCAAACGCCATCGCGTTATCCACTTAGCTACTGAGTCCTGATAGCCACTTGCTTGTGCAATGGGTTGAAGTTGAATTCACTTGATATTGTTTTACTTGAATCTTCCCATTGATGTTTTTTGGACTGAAATTGATCAGTCTCTTATTGGCATATGTGCATACTGTGCGTATGCCTCGATATTGCCTAAATTTACAAGCATTATAAGCAAAGATGGATAGTGGCTAGCAGTGGAATCCAGGACGCGCGTTTCGTCCTGTTTGGGACTCGTCAGCTGGATGTACCTGCATCTCAGAGTTGATGTTCACTCTGGGACTCGAACTCAGTACCGTTCGCTTCAAACGCCATCGCGTTATCCACTTAGCTAAGTAAGTAAGTAAGTAAGTAAGTAAGTAAGTAAGTAAGTAAGTAAGTAAGTAAGTAAGTAAGTAAGTAAGTAAGTAAGTAAGTAAGTAAGTAAGTAAGTAAGTAAGTAAGTAAGTAAGTAAGTAAGTAAGTAAGTAAGTAAGTAAGTAAGTAAGTAAGTAAGTAAGTAAGTAAGTAAGTAAGTAAGTAAGTAAGTAAGTAAGTAAGTAAGTAAGTAAGTAAGTAAGTAAGTAAGTAAGTAAGTAAGTAAGTAAGTAGTAAGTAAGTAAGTAAGTAAGTAAGTAAGTAAGTAAGTAAGTAAGTAAGTAAGTAAGTAAGTAAGTAAGTAAGTAAGTAAGTAAGTAAGTAAGTAAGTAAGTAAGTAAGTAGTAAGTAAGTAAGTAAGTAAGTAAGTAAGTAAGTAAGTAAGTAAGTAAGTAAGTAAGTAAGTAAGTAAGTAAGTAAGTAAGTAAGTAAGTAAGTAAGTAAGTAAGTAAGTAAGTAAGTAAGTAAGTAAGTAAGTAAGTAAGTAAGTAAGTAAGTAAGTAAGTAAGTAAGTAAGTAAGTAGTAAGTAAGTAAGTAAGTAAGTAAGTAAGTAAGTAAGTAAGTAAGTAAGTAAGTAAGTAAGTAAGTAAGTAAGTAAGTAAGTAAGTAAGTAAGTAAGTAAGTAAGTAAGTAAGTAAGTAAGTAGTAAGTAAGTAAGTAAGTAAGTAAGTAAGTAAGTAAGTAAGTAAGTAAGTAAGTAAGTAAGTAAGTAAGTAAGTAAGTAAGTAAGTAAGTAAGTAAGTAAGTAAGTAAGTAAGTAAGTAAGTAAGTAAGTAAGTAAGTAAGTAAGTAAGTAAGTAAGTAAGTAAGTAAGTAAGTAAGTAAGTAAGTAAGTAAGTAAGTAAGTAAGTAAGTAAGTAAGTAAGTAAGTAAGTAAGTAAGTAAGTAAGTAAGTAAGTAGTAAGTAAGTAAGTAAGTAAGTAAGTAAGTAAGTAAGTAAGTAAGTAAGTAAGTAAGTAAGTAAGTAAGTAAGTAAGTAAGTAAGTAAGTAAGTAAGTAAGTAAGTAAGTAAGTAAGTAAGTAAGTAAGTAAGTAAGTAAGTAAGTAAGTAAGTAAGTAAGTAAGTAAGTAAGTAAGTAAGTAAGTAAGTAAGTAAGTAAGTAAGTAAGTAAGTAAGTAAGTAAGTAAGTAAGTAAGTAAGTAAGTAAGTAAGTAAGTAAGTAAGTAAGTAAGTAAGTAAGTAAGTAAGTAAGTAAGTAAGTAAGTAAGTAAGTAAGTAAGTAAGTAAGTAAGTAAGTAAGTAAGTAAGTAAGTAAGTAAGTAAGTAAGTAAGTAAGTAAGTAAGTAAGTAAGTAAGTAAGTAAGTAAGTAAGTAAGTAAGTAAGTAAGTAAGTAAGTAAGTAAGTAAGTAAGTAAGTAAGTAAGTAAGTAAGTAAGTAAGTAAGTAAGTAAGTAAGTAAGTAAGTAAGTAAGTAAGTAAGTAAGTAAGTAAGTAAGTAAGTAAGTAAGTAAGTAAGTAAGTAAGTAAGTAAGTAAGTAAGTAAGTAAGTAAGTAAGTAAGTAAGTAAGTAAGTAAGTAAGTAAGTAAGTAAGTAAGTAAGTAAGTAAGTAAGTAAGTAAGTAAGTAAGTAAGTAAGTAAGTAAGTAAGTAAGTAAGTAAGTAAGTAAGTAAGTAAGTAAGTAAGTAAGTAAGTAAGTAAGTAAGTAAGTAAGTAAGTAAGTAAGTAAGTAAGTAAGTAAGTAAGTAAGTAAGTAAGTAAGTAAGTAAGTAAGTAAGTAAGTAAGTAAGTAAGTAAGTAAGTAAGTAAGTAAGTAAGTAAGTAAGTAAGTAAGTAAGTAAGTAAGTAAGTAAGTAAGTAAGTAAGTAAGTAAGTAAGTAAGTAAGTAAGTAAGTAAGTAAGTAAGTAAGTAAGTAAGTAAGTAAGTAAGTAAGTAAGTAAGTAAGTAAGTAAGTAAGTAAGTAAGTAAGTAAGTAAGTAAGTAAGTAAGTAAGTAAGTAAGTAAGTAAGTAAGTAAGTAAGTAAGTAAGTAAGTAAGTAAGTAAGTAAGTAAGTAAGTAAGTAAGTAAGTAAGTAAGTAAGTAAGTAAGTAAGTAAGTAAGTAAGTAAGTAAGTAAGTAAGTAAGTAAGTAAGTATATATGAGACAAACTGTAAGTTGATTATGGCAGACTAACATGAACCTCTCTCTTTCTCTTTCTCTCTAGAACATTATCAGATCAAAGAAGACTAGAGATGTATATAAGAAACAAAAGATAGAAAGAAAGAAAGAAATGAAAAGTATTGTTCATTCTAATATGACTTACTTGAACATAAGCTTTCATTGGATCTAATATTGATCGATTAATAAAATTATCAGTTAATAATTCCACTGATTGTTCACCATATTTATGACGATATAATTGTAATAATTCATCACATTTTTCATTTAATTTTTGACATGGATTTGAACGATATATAAATGATTTACCAGCCATTGATTCAAATAACTATAAATGCATAGAGATAGATTAATAGATAGAGAGAGAGAGAGATAAAGAAAAGTAGGTCTTTTCTTCTCTAAAAACTCTATTACATAATGCTTACTGAAAGTCGGGTTAATGTAGAATGAATAGTTGAGATCATGAGTCAATTGAAGCTAGATCTATTATGGAAAACCAAGGAAGTACTGGACGGTCGTTTCGTCCTATTGTGGGACTCCTCAGTGGCAATGAGCATCCACGACCCCACCCGTAGGATTCAAACCCACGGGCCTCTAGTCTCGCGCGTGATCGTGGATGTGCACTGTTGAGGGGTCCTACAATAGGACTGAACGGACATTTAGTGCTTCCAAGTTTTCAATGATGGTCTAACATCAATCGGTTCATGATCTCAATCAAAAACTTAATAATCTAAGCAGGTGGAGAAGATTTGTAGCTCAAGTGGATGATTTTGATGGAGTTTTGTTCTCTGAGCTGAATGGTTTAGTCAAACCAATGGGAGATACAGTCAAAATAAAGAAGTAAACAATGACAAGTTTAAGGTCAACAAGAACTAATCAGCATCGAGGTGTACAGGAAAAGTTATGAAATTCGAACACTTCACCTCTACCTGAAGTTTGTGTTGATCATGTTGTTTAGAAGAAGGATGAAAACTCCACGACTAAATCATCCAGCTCAGAGAACAAAACTCCATCAAAAACTTAATAAACTCCAAAACCCTATACTGATAACATTTATATATTGTTAATATAATTTATTATGGGCAAAGTTTTGAGTATTTGATGAACTTTTAGAGTTTCATTAGTACCATATGTTTAAACTAAGTATTAATTAATTAATTAATGAACCGATCATAAGTAAGCAATACTTTGACGAAACATATAATCATGTATATGAGGACAGTCCATGGATGAATTCGAAGAAACCTTAAGAAGTTCAGAAAGAGCCGAAGATATCCCATCCCCGTCACCAATTGTTATAACTTGTCGTTTTGAATGCTAATTGTCTTAGCTCTTTTAATATCTGGTTGTCATCGTGTTTTTGCGGTTAATAAATTATCACTTATACCAGTCTTTGTGTTTTTACTTTCGCGTTGTGGGAATTGCGGAGGTATAAGCATTCCGGCATAACAATCACCGACGATCAGATATAAAAAGTAGCATTCATAAGAGCCAAGACAATCAAAATTCAAAACAACAAGTTATAACAATGTACTTACAGTTATTGTGGAAAATTATGTTTCATAACCAACGAGGCAATGAACCAATTTCTAAACAGTATACTTATGTGTGATAAACATTAAGACATCTTACGTGAGTCATAGATGCAGCAAGTAGATAAAAACAAAAAAAAAAAGCTTTCTTTATGCGTTTCAATATTCAACCGAACACCAATGACCTCTTTAAGGTTAATACCACTTCTAAGAAAAGCAACTTGTACACTTTCACTTTCTACTCTCATTAGCGCTCACTAATCCATGGAAGAGATATGTCTATCTCATAGATTACTATATATATATATATATATATATATATATATATATATGTCAGTGTCACCACAAAACAGAATTATGTCCCCTGAAGATGCCACAGGTATTCGGAGTTTGACAACGCTTTAACCAGTAACACCTTCTAATATGAAGCGTACCCACCAAGTGAAATCAAAAGACAGAAGCGAGGAAGTTCGAAGATATATTTGATAGGCTATTAATATACCGAGGATCGTCTGATCTAATCTAGCTAGCGATTGCAGGGGTTGTTGAGCACGACGTTCCCACTCATGATCTGGTGCGGATGCATGACTGAGCGCCTTCAGCTGGGTGAGTTCATTAAAACTAATATGGTCAGCATTCAATATCGAAAACTTACAGAGCTATTTATTTTGGGAATTTATTTACGGTTACACTTCCAATGGATTACAAGTAATTCAGTAAGTCAATATCTGTAAATTCGAATGTGGAAGAAGTTATTTTGTACCAGACATTTACGGTAAAACAAAAACAATGGAAGTTCAAAAGATAAATTTATGTTGAATTTTATTCCGTATGACATATCGTCCATCTAATATCTGTTTTAGATAATATCGACTAGAGGGATATTTAAATCGTTCACATTTCCAGGCACTCTTGGTGATATGGCTTAGAATTGATCACAATGGCGTCAGTGTATAACATATCGTCCATCAAAATCTGTTTTAGATAATATCGACTAGTGGGATACTTAAATCGTTCACATTTCCAGGCACTGTTGGTGACATGGCTTAGAATTGATCACAATGGCGTCAGTGTATACACTCTTTGTCTTCCTTTAAAATAAAACAAACATAACTTACTTGACCATGAAAGGTAACACGATAATATGCGGCAAATAATCGATGTCCATAAGATTCAATTCGATTTATTGCTTCATAAGTTCGACCAATATGATGATAAATTTGAGCTAAATTCATATATTGACATTTAGATTCATATACTGGTAAAATTAAATTATACACAGGTTGTATACATTCATATAATCCAGCAGATTCTAAGGCTAATGCAGCTTCATTTAGATCGGTTAATAAATTCTCCTTAAAAGAAAAGTGAACATTAAAAACAACATTTAAAAGAAAGAAAGAAAAGATAAATATCTATTCTATAAATTTCAATGGTTAAGATCATGAATCAATTGAAGCTAGACCAGCATGGAAAACCTGGAAGCACTGGACAGTCGTTTCATCCTATTGTGAGACTCCTCACAGCAGTATGCATGATCTTAACCATTGAAATTACTATAATATTCACAAAACTCATCTGATATTCTACAAATATTAACGACATAATGATTATAGAAAGGTAATTCGTACAAGATATAGATATAGTAACCAAGACTAATTGGAATTCATTAGAAACTGTCCAAAAAGAAAGAATAACACAATTCCCCTTACAAATTGAATTAAAATAATGGTAGATGAGAAAACGATCAATGTATGGAACTGAAACAAGTAATGAGAGATACAATATACTCAGATAGTAACTTAGACAGCATATTTAAGATGAGTACTGGAGCTGATGATGACTGTGAACTTTAAAATGTATTCTTGTATTAGGAAATTCATATATCATTGTAAAGATGAGAAATTAGGGCTAATTAACGGTCGTTCAGTACTTCCAGGTTTTTCATGTTGGTCTAGCTTCAATTGATCTCAACTATTAAAAATCAACTTATTTATTATTTATTTATTAGAACACATAAATATTGGTACAAAAGGGCACCAAATATATATGCACCACATTTTTGTGTGAGGGCTGTGATACTTCCCGGGTGCCCAGATCGAAGAAGGCGATTTTCTTAGGGGGCCACATCCCGAACTTTTGACCTAAAGGTAAAGGTCTAACACGAATCCTCGAAAGCCTTGACCACCTACATGAATAAAAATTCACCACCTTATCGATCGACTTATCATCTGCAGCCAGTACACTTCGTTTAAATTTGCTGTAGCTCACTCGGTAGTCATAACATACGCAAACAATGTTTGGAAAGTATGTATGACAGAATTTCTATTTTATTTATTTTAACACATAGATATTGGTACAAAGAGGCACCAAATACATACGCGCCACACAAATCTTATTCGATATGTGTGAGGGCTGTGACACTGCTCGGGTGCCCAAATCGAAGCAGGTGGTTTTCTTAGGAAGCCGCACCCGGAGCCTTTGACCTGAAGGTTTGATCCACAAGGTAGTGGAGCAACGTAAGGACATGGAGTTCCATGGTAGCCGGTGACCAACAATTGGTTCATGCGTTATTTGTTCCTTCAGGATACTGGAGACCATGTGTACCATTGGTTTGAAATCGGTGTTTTCCAACTTCCCTAGGTGGATTCTCCATGTCCACCAACCCGGTTAAATCGCCGAACATTAGCTTTTCGTCCTCTCAATTTCGTAAACAACACCCTTGTTGCGAGAAGGCAGTGAGTAGGACTTCCCTGTTAGATGCTATATATGCGTGGTCATGTGAGAGCATTTGGAGAGGTAGAGCGGACTCTCCCCACTCTCAGGCGTACCAGGGCATTTGGGGGCCGTATGACCGAATACTGATAACTTATAAACATTCTCTGTGTTAAAAAGCCTCCCCCTGTAACACTTTCTGATGTTCTAGTCTGAAGATTGTTGGAACGTGAGAATTCGTGCAAATGATCGACCACGCAAAAAATAGATGAACACAATAATGCGTACGTAGATTATTCACCTTAACCCGTTTGCTCTTTGTTAAAGAAACGACACACAAAGAAAATGCACCTAATTATCAATATAGAATATGACTTATTTACTAAGTTACACATTTTAACCCTCCTAGAGGAGAACATAGACCGCCCAAGTAGGATTGGTCATCGAACTCTATTGTAAGCAATCCTTTTCAGTAGTATATAACAGATTGTATAAATTTAATTTAGTTTGATATAACCTTAAAATTTACTAATGTATAAATAAATTTACAATAATTATATGAACACTTCATTGTATTTACCTAATGATAAATAAACATATATTTTTCAATAGTTAAGATCATGGGTCAATTGAAGCTAGAGCATTATGAAAAACCTGGAAGAACTGGAAGACCGTTTCGTCCTTTTGTAGGACTCTTCAGCAGTGTGCATCCACGACCCCACCTCACGAGATTCAAAGTTGAAATTAGACATTAACACCGTTAGATGCCAATTCAGTGATCTAATAGTTAAATGCTCACGCGCAAGACCGATAGGTCCTGAGTTCAAATCTACTGAGAAGTCCGGCAATAGAATGAAATGGTCATCTAATACTTTCAGGTTTTCCATAGTGATCTAACTTCAATTGATTTATGATCTGAACCTATAATATCCACCAAAAAATAAACACAATCCCTTTTCTGATATATTTACTTGTGTATAAGAAATTTCTAATACTGTAGAATCTGTTTTTAATCCATTTTCTTCTATGTAAATATTAGATGAAATTGTTTTGAATGCATTACATCCTTGAGGAAATTCACCTAAAACAAAATTGAGAAAAACAACAATAAAAAAACTGGTAGGGGGGGGAGGTTCATTATTTTCATAAGTAAAGAAATGAATATATGAATCAGTATTTAACTAGAAACATTCTATCACTAAGAGATTTCATTCTGATATATATCAGGATTGATAACGTTATAAGCAAGCATTTATATATTAGTCATTATGCATGTATTAAACTTGAGGGTTTGATGTAGAGATGGAAAATCGAATCAAGAGAGGGTGTTACTGTTGCATTGGCATTTGTCAGCTGGACATACGTGCATAGTATATTTATTATTATTTATTTTAACACATAGATGTTGGTACAAGGAGGCACAAAATACATATGCGCCACACAAATCTCATTCGATATGTGTAAGGGCTGTGATACTGCTCGGGTGCCCAAACCGAAGGGGCCACTCCCCGAGCCTTCGACCTGAAGGTCTGATCCACAAGGTAAGGAGATGCAGTCTCATGGAAGCCGGTGACCAACAATTGGTTCATACGACATTTGTTCTTGCAGGATACTGGAGCCCAAGTGCACCATTGTTTTGGAATCCGGTTAAAGCGCCGGACATTCGCTTTTCGTCCTCTCATTTTCGTAAACAACACACCCGCCACCAGAAGGCAGTGAGTAGGACTTCCCTGGCAGAGGCTATATATGCGTGACCATGTGAGAGCATTTCAAGAGGAAGAGCGGACTCTCCCTACTCTCGGCCGTACCAGGGCATTTGGGGGCCCATACGTGCATAGACTGATCAGCTGTAGTGTAATACACATACATGAAAAGATCTAAACAACGAAAATATATTATTTATAACTGAGTATTGTCTGTCAAATGTCAAATGACTAGTATAAACTAAGAACACAGTATTGGTTATTCACATGGTGTTGTTATACTTGTATCTTCCTTTTATTATTTAGGATTGCAATCGATCAGTCTTATGTTGGTATATGTGCATCTTGTGCGGACTGCCTCGATAATGACTTAAATTACAAACGTCTTCAAGCAACGATAGATAGTAACTAGCAATGGAATCCAGTTTGACGAGCGTTTCGTCCTATTTTGGGACTCGTCAGTTGAATGTTAGTTATTCTATGATTGGAAATAGAGTCCCAAAACATTTTAGGATAATATGAGTTAATACATTCTACTTTAAGAAAATCTGTAAAAAAAAGTGTTCATTATTTAGTTACTATTAAAAATTCATTTAATAAACATCTCAAATGCACATTAACCGATTAGTTAACCAAATAGTTAATTGATTCCCCCATACAAGATGAATATTAGAAGATGAGTGTGCATTGAAAGAAAGTATTACATGCATCATAATCAAATGGTATCCATAAAACATTCAATGAATTCGATGTAAATCCAAGGTTCCAATTTAGATACAAATGAATCAATCGCAAACAAACGAAATTCACACAAAGGAAAATGGAAGAAAAGAATTTTATTAGGTAACAATATGAATTTGCTCCTAAATGCTTTGGTATAGTCGAGGGTGAAAAGAATTTGCTATCCCTCTCGAAACGCCTTCACATAGCCATATATACACAGCCACTACTATAGAAGTCCTATTCACTGCCTAATCAAAAAAGGGATATTGTTTACGAAATTAAGAGAAAGAATTGTGAATGACCGACGCAGAAACCGGGTTGCCTCTTAAATGACCACATATATACAACCACTGTCAGGGAATTCCTATTCATTGTCTTCTCGAGGTGGAGGTGTTGTTTACGAAATTAACAATATGAAAAGTGAATGTCCGGTGCTTTAACCAGGTCGTTGATTTAAGAGCAGCCACCTAGGATAGTTGGAAAATCCTGATTCCAAACAAATGGTTTAAGATCCTAAGAAAACAAATGGTGTATCAACTTGTTTTTAGTCACCAGCTACTATGAGACTGTATCTCCTAACGTTGTTCCACTTCCTTGTGGATTACACCTGTAGGTTAATTGCTTCGGGAAGTGGCTGTCGAAGGGAACCACCTACTTGGGTTTGGTTGTCCAGCAGGTAGTATACCAGCTCTTACACAATTCGAATGATAATATCTGGCACAATATATCTATGGTACCTCCTTATATCAATGTTTACGTGTTTAAATCAATAAAGATATGCATATACATAGATAAAATGTTTAAAATGATACATATATTTATACTAAATAATTTTCATTGTAGTTTAATCTAGACAAGATGATCATTCACTAATTCAACTAAAAGGATCCAATCTGATCCAATTTTTTTTTGATTCAAGGAAATATGATCAAATATAAAAAATGATCGAATATTACATGGTTCGCCGGTTAATTGTATACTAAAATAGATCAATTCAATTATGTGAACACATGTCTAAAGTAAGTATTGCTATAGTGTGTATGAAATATGTTATAGTGTTTAATGAATGATCTTAGTCAGTCAGTCAGTCAGTAACAACGTAGAACTTCGTACGTACGTACATCAGTTCGAGTTGCCACACCACATTAGCACAGAGATGAAGTTGTCGATTCAAATCCTGTAGTGGTAGAGGTAGCAAGAGTATAAGCAGTAATCGGGAAGATTAAGGTTTGGAGATGTTATTTAAAGAGTATAATCCAGTGAAATAAATTTGGAAAGAGGAAAAAAGGGACATGAAAAATTCAGAAGATTAGAATTTGGGAGAACACAAAGAGTGGATGCACCTGCGCCATTGCAAACGATTTTGAGCCATGTCATTCAGGGTCTCTAACCATCGGTTGCTATCATCTCGTTGTCCCCAACCAGGTAGTCTACACCTACCAACATGACTCAGTCCACTTGTCAGTGACTTCATGGACTTGTGCCATGATTTGGTTTGGCCGCCTCTAGCTTAGTGCTTAATTTAAAGAAATTGGAACAAAGGTAGATCTGACCAAGTTACTATATCATATCCATATAGATAGATGAAATGATTAATAACTATAGTAACAGTATAAGTAGAACTAGAAAACATTAAGTATAGACAATATGATTTAAGAAGAATGAATGATTGTTTTCAGATAGAGGTTTTGTGAAGATTTTAGTAATTCAATAGTTGAATTCATGAGTCTGTTCAGCGTTCATGTGCAAGACTGACAGGCTTTAGGTTTGAATCCCCTGAGCGAGATCATGGATGCATACTATTGAGAGAGTTCCATACTAAGACGAAACGGCCGTCCAGTGCTTCCAAGATTTTCATGGTTGTCTATCTTTAGTGGACTCATGAATTCATCCATTAAAAGAATGAATGAATTTGATAAATGAAAAAAAATAAAACAATTTTAAAAATAGAAAGTTTAATGGGATAAGAGTAGTGAATGGATCTACCTCATTGTGATCAATTCTGAATCATGTCATCCAATACAATAATCTTTTAGATCTATTATTAAACAGTCTACACCAACTGATATATCTCAAACGGACAACTAACAAAAATTCATCGACGTCAGGTTTCAGCGACTCTAGCTTCCTTTCAATCTTCTCAAATTACCATTATGTATTGAAGTAAGTAGTGATTGAATATACATAATACATGTCTTAGTAACTTCCTCCATCAATGAAGATTCATAACTTTACCTTATACAAATGAGTACAGACCAAAATAATGGAATAGTGACTAGTTGATCATTTGAATTAAAACTCTTCCACATATAAAACAACATTCATTCTTCTATACACATATTGATTAGTTTAATATCACTTCCTAATATAGTGAAAACATAAATTCGATGGACAAAAAAAGTATTTTCTTTTTTCTAAAGTGTTTTATCTTTTTCTTTTTCTTTGATTGTTTCTTTTTTAGTAATTGGAATAGTTGACATCATGAGTTAATTGAAGCTAGACCATCATGGAAAACTCGGAAGCACTGGACGACCGTTTCGTCCTAGTATAAGACCCCCTCAGTAGTGAGCATTCACAATACCGCCCCTCCCCGCCGCGATATTCGAACCTAGGACCTATCACAGTCTCGCGTGCGAGCGCTTAACCATTAAACTACTCTGAGCCGGCATCCAAGAGTGTTTTTGTTTACATACAAGTTAAAATTTGAGAGTATGACATCTATTTAAATAAACAATCAATTGGGCATATTTTTTTTTGTTTCTGGCTTGATTTTGTCATTATATTTAACAATAGAACACTATGATCTCTAACCATCATTTCATCCTTTCATTTACATTTCAATGTATATGTAATACAAATACATAGATTATGTAATCGCATATGTAAACATACATAAACATTCCATTAGAATCTCTCTCTCTCTCTCTGTCAATATCAAGGAGATCGTATCACCCCCCCCCGGTACCTATCACATCAGACATACCCTTTGCTTCAATAAACAAACATACTTCATATGAGATAATCAACATACAAAATAAAATATGCATCTAGTGTACATGTAAAAAGAATAGATGGATGCTCGTGTGTGTATGTGTGTGTATGTATGTATGTGTCTGTAATTGAGTATGAATCAGTAAATGAGTAGTACTGGTAATATAAGTAGTGCATCTATGCAAATAAATAATCATGTAATAGAGGCGTGCGTATGTACACACACACACACACACACAAACAAACAAATGTACAAATTAATTTTGCACCAAGTTTAAATATTCAAACAAAACTAACTTACAATCTAAAATACCTAAATGAAAAAGTAAATATGATTGCATTGTATTAGACAAAGTTTATTCTTTTTCTTTCTCTCGTTCTCTCGTTTACAATCAATAAATTCAACCCAATAAACATTTGACAAAACAAAATAAAACAAACAAACAAACAAAAACAAAAAATCTAAGAATTTGCGCGACCATCTTTCTTTGTACCGAAGTAGACACCTGTTTCTACCCGACACGGATTAGCTCCACTGATCATGGCTTCTCATTAGAACTCTGAGAATTTTCTCACGAAGCTAGTCACTAGCGTACACATGGTAATTATCAGTCTAGGGGTTGTGGAGATTGTTAAGTTTTTTTAATTGAGATCATGAACCATTGGATGCCGGCTCAGTGGTCTGGTAGGTTAAACGTTCGCTGTGCGAGACTGAAGGCCCTAGGTTCGAATCCCGCCAGCAGGGTCGTGGATGTGCACTGCTGAGGAGTCCCACAATAGGACGAAGCGGTCGTCCAGGTTCTCCATGGTGGTCTAACATCAATTGGTTCATGATCTCAATCGAAAACTTAACAATATCCACAACCCCTAAACTGATAAAAACAAAAAAAGGCAGAGAATTTTTTTCTTTCTCTCACATTTTCTAGTTGATACTTATTGTTTATTGAAATAGAATTGTCCTTTGTCTCACTATTCACATTATGTTCACATATATATGTGAATGGTGTTGTATGACTGAAATATTGAACATTTTAATCAATATATTGGATATTTTGATTACACTATAATGACATAATACAACTCGTGATAATATCGATCAGTAAATTCAATGATGAAAATATTACAATTATTAAAAATCACCCCCCCCCTTGGTGATTAGATTCAAGATGAATTTCTTACAGTCCTAGTGAGAAACTATGACCAACGAAGTTCAACTGATATTGGATATGAGAAAGCTATCCATTTCAGATCATGTATAAACGGTTGCAAAAGATCATGGATAGATTAAAGTTAGACATTAACATCATTGAATACTAGATATTCACATGTGAAATCGAATGTCCTGAGCTCGAGTTCCATGTGTGGGGTTGTGGATGTGAACTGTTGAGAAGTTTCAAGGTTATTAAGTAATAACAATCAATTTTCATTCAACCAAGAATTGAAGATATTGATTGAGATCATGAGTCTATTGATGTTAGACCACCATTGAAAACCTGGAAGTATTGGATAGTTGTTCTGTCCTATTGTGGGACTCCTCAGTAGTGTGCATCCACAATTCCGCTCATGAGATTTGAACCCACGGCCTTCAGTCTCACGCGCGAATGCTCAACCTAGTAGACTACTGAGTTGGCCAATATTCAACGGTGTTAATGTCTAACTTCAAACAAACCACCAAATTTCACGACCATCTTCCATTGTACTGAAATAGATATCTGTCTCTACCCGACACATGCTTCCAGGTGGTCTAACATCAATCAGCTCATAATCTCAATCAATAACTTAATAATCTCCACAACCCTTATACTGATAAGAATTGAATAAACAATAGTAGTAACGTATTAAGCAAACAATGCACATATCAAATGGGAATTGTAAAGATCAAAAGGGAAACGAAAATTTACCACATCAAATTGTTTCATATCTATGAATAGAAATTAAAAAAACATTGAATTATTTGAAAGCTACTCTAAGAATTCATTCATTGACTTAGTTATCATCTTTTAATTGATACAATTGGAATCTTGAAAGAAAACAGAAAAGAGAAAAGTTAAAGAATACATTGAGTTGAGAATTGGAAGTAAGTATCAAAAGGATTGGCCAGTATAGAGTATGATGAAGAATGTTGATTGGTGAGTGGTCTACACTCCTCCACGAGGAGTAACAGGAGTAAGTAAGTAAGTAAGTAAGTAAGTAAGTAAGTAAGTAAGTAAGTAAGTAAGTAAGTAAGTAAGTAAGTAAGTAAGTAAGTAAGTAAGTAAGTAAGTAAGTAAGTAAGTAAGTAAGTAAGTAAGTAAGTAAGTAAGTAAGTAAGTAAGTAAGTAAGTAAGTAAGTAAGTAAGTAAGTAAGTAAGTAAGTAAGTAAGTAAGTAAGTAAGTAAGTAAGTAAGTAAGTAAGTAAGTAAGTAAGTAAGTAAGTAAGTAAGTAAGTAAGTAAGTAAGTAAGTAAGTAAGTAAGTAAGTAAGTAAGTAAGTAAGTAAGTAAGTAAGTAAGTAAGTAAGTAAGTAAGTAAGTAAGTAAGTAAGTAAGTAAGTAAGTAAGTAAGTAAGTAAGTAAGTAAGTAAGTAAGTAAGTAAGTAAGTAAGTAAGTAAGTAAGTAAGTAAGTAAGTAAGTAAGTAAGTAAGTAAGTAAGTAAGTAAGTAAGTAAGTAAGTAAGTAAGTAAGTAAGTAAGTAAGTAAGTAAGTAAGTAAGTAAGTAAGTAAGTAAGTAAGTAAGTAAGTAAGTAAGTAAGTAAGTAAGTAAGTAAGTAAGTAAGTAAGTAAGTAAGTAAGTAAGTAAGTAAGTAAGTAAGTAAGTAAGTAAGTAAGTAAGTAAGTAAGTAAGTAAGTAAGTAAGTAAGTAAGTAAGTAAGTAAGTAAGTAAGTAAGTAAGTAAGTAAGTAAGTAAGTAAGTAAGTAAGTAAGTAAGTAAGTAAGTAAGTAAGTAAGTAAGTAAGTAAGTAAGTAAGTAAGTAAGTAAGTAAGTAAGTAAGTAAGTAAGTAAGTAAGTAAGTAAGTAAGTAAGTAAGTAAGTAAGTAAGTAAGTAAGTAAGTAAGTAAGTAAGTAAGTAAGTAAGTAAGTAAGTAAGTAAGTAGTAAGTAAGTAAGTAAGTAAGTAAGTAAGTAAGTAAGTAAGTAAGTAAGTAAGTAAGTAAGTAAGTAAGTAAGTAAGTAAGTAAGTAAGTAAGTAAGTAAGTAAGTAAGTAAGTAAGTAAGTAAGTAAGTAAGTAAGTAAGTAAGTAAGTAAGTAAGTAAGTAAGTAAGTAAGTAAGTAAGTAAGTAAGTAAGTAAGTAAGTAAGTAAGTAAGTAAGTAAGTAAGTAAGTAAGTAAGTAAGTAAGTAAGTAAGTAAGTAAGTAAGTAAGTAAGTAAGTAAGTAAGTAAGTAAGTAAGTAAGTAAGTAAGTAAGTAAGTAAGTAAGTAAGTAAGTAAGTAAGTAAGTAAGTAAGTAAGTAGTAAGTAAGTAAGTAAGTAAGTAAGTAAGTAAGTAAGTAAGTAAGTAAGTAAGTAAGTAAGTAAGTAAGTAAGTAAGTAAGTAAGTAAGTAAGTAAGTAAGTAAGTAAGTAAGTAAGTAAGTAAGTAAGTAAGTAAGTAAGTAAGTAAGTAAGTAAGTAAGTAAGTAAGTAAGTAAGTAAGTAAGTAAGTAAGTTCGAATGATTATTTTGAAGGTCAACTCATAGATACATCTATATATTTTGGTAAAAATGTATATAAAAATTTATATGTAAATTACCTTTACATTTTAAATATTCAGCCATTAATGCAGCAATATGTAATTTAGTCATAGCTAATTCTGTGAAACTTCTTGAATTCATATGTAATTTGACTATTTCTTCTAACCATGTACTATAATCATTAAAAAATAAATAATAATAAATGTTAATTAGAATAGGAAATGTTCAAAAACGGGAAATGTTCAATAGAGAAAAGAAAAGCCATTTACATTGACAATTTGGGCATCCTTCCTTCGATTTGAGCACATGGGCAATATCCCAGTCCTTGCACAAATCGAATAAAAAGTCATTTAAAAAGATATTCGTTGGCGATTTGGGCATCCTTCCTTCGATTTGAGCATATGGGCAATATCCCAGTCCTTGCACAAATCGAATAAGTCATTTAAAAAGTTATACGATGATGGTTTATTGTTAAATCATTTCCTCATTCATTCAGTTGATGAATCTTCTATATTAGTGTAAATCTCATTAATGAATTCAAGTCAAGCATGAGAAATTATCTGCAACTGTCTTCCATGAACTATGTCGATGTAGCCCAGCCTGATATTATGAATAAAAAATACAAATGTAGTCAAAGAGATTGAATGAAATCTCTAATGAAAATTATACTCACCTATTGAATGAGTGAAAAGTGACAGATGTGTTCTGAACAACAAATTAACTAAACAAATAGTTTCAGCCATGATAACATATTCATTATTGTCTAAGCCACAAAATGCCCTAGTACGACCGAGAGTGTGGAGAGTTAGCTCTCCCTCTTCACATGGTCACGCCTATACAGCTACTACCACACAAGTCCCACTCACTGCCTTCTCGCCACTAGGGTGTTTTTTACGAAATTGAGAGGGTGAAAAGCGGATGTCCGGAGGTTTAACCAGGTTAGAAGATACGGAAGCTCCACCTAGAGGATTTGGAAAACCCTGATTCCAAAATAACGGTGCCCATGGATTGGTTCCAGGATCTTCAGGAGACAAATGGCATATGAACAAATCGTTGGTCACCGGCTACCATGGGACTGCATCTCCTTACGATGCTCCACTGCCTTGTGGATCAGACCTTTAGGTCGAAGGCTCGGGGTGTGGCCCCTTAAGAAAACCACTTGCTTCTATTTGGGCACCCGTGCAGTATTTCGGCACCCACAAAAATCGAATGATTTCTGTGGCGCATATCTGTTTGGTGCCTCCTTGTACCAATGTTTATGTTTTTAAATAAATAAATAAATAAAGGGCTTATTCAGTTGAATCAATCGTATTTGTACTAGTGGTACTATTGAAGTAGAGACGAAGCTCTTGACTGATACGTTAATGAATAATGGTTATTCATTGAAGTTCATAAACCGCTGGAAGAGTTGCAGTACGGCTAGACTTATGACACTTTTGGCACCCAAAAAGCGAGTTTACATTACGTTACCATTTAGAGACGACAAAAATAGTCTCATGTTGAAACGGAGGCTATCAACCGAACATTTTATGCAGCCTAACTTGTCATTATCGATAAGACAAGGTTTATGATTTCACCAAAAGCCCAAACAGCACCAAATCGATTATGTCACATCCCATTATGTCTATCAAGTTACATATATGTATGGTAACATAGGGATGAGCAATTGTAATTTGCAATTAAGGATGACTACAGAAACAAATGGATTCCAATGATCAAATAAAATCACAGAATAGACAGATATCATCTTTCATTGCGAAACATTTGATTGGCATCAAATCAACATTTGTAGTGTTATACAAAAGTTTTCAAGGACGTATATACTAAAGTTTATTGAAGCCTTGGCTATACGGAAACTGAAACCCCCTTTATGTATTCAAAAAACAATTTGTCCTTACACTTAACCTACCCTGATAATATTGATTTCTAAATAAGCAGTAGTCAATACCCTGTAATCATTTAAAATCCAATCCAATGTGTATTACCATGTCGAATCACTCACCTTATTCGCTATAAAGTAATCATTGTCTTTATTTAATTAAGCCATATAATAACGGTAATTTTAACTTTTTGTTTTGGTATCCAATCATCTCGTATCTGTGTCTTATTTATTATTTATTTATTTATTTAAACACATAGATGTTTGTACAAGGAGGCACAAAATACATATGCGCCACACAAATCTCATTCGATATGTGTGAGGGCTGTGATATTGCTCGGGTGCCCAGACCGAAGCAGGTGGTTTTCTTAGGGGGCCACACCCCGAGCCTTCGACCTAAAGGTCTGATCCACAAGGCGGTGGAGCATCGTGAGGAGATGCAGTCTCATGGAAGCCGGTGACCAACAATTGGTTCATACACCATTTGTTCTTGCAGGATACTGGAGCCAACTCATGTGCACCATTGGTTTGGAATCCGGTTGAAGCACCGGACATTCGCTTTTCGTCCTCTCATTTTTGTAAACAACACTCTTGGTGCGAGAAGGCAGTGAGTAGGACTTCCCTGGCAGAGGCTATATACACGTGGCCATGAGAGAGCATTTCGAGAGGGAGAGCGGACTCTCCCCACTCTTGGCCGTACCAGGGCATTTGGGGGCTAAACCTTCTTTGAATTGTATAACATTTAAGAAAAAACTTATTTCTAAACATAGATTCAATTGAAATCTAACCAATATCTACTTAGTTTAGGAAATGTCATATGATAAGTAATATATAACCAATTACAATCATTACCAACCATCCTGAACTTAATTGATTCAATTTCTAATGATATTTTATGATGTAACATTGTTCGACTACTATCATGTCTGATTCCATATTGATTTTAATGGATAGTGATTATTACATATATATATATAGATATTGTTTATGTATTACAATACATTGTTACCTAGACTGTAAACTAAACCATCATGGGAAAGTATATGAAAATGTCAAGAATTCCTAGTTTTAAGACCAATAATATTAAAATATTTGTGTAGTGCTAACAAATCAGCCTTAGAACAAATTGAACGGTTTCTTTGATAAAAAAAAAAAGTGTCAGAGATCATTTAAACTTCAGAATAATATCTCGATGAAACACTTTTTCGATTGATCCCAAATACCTTTATACGACTGATGGTGAAGAGAATCAGCTCTCTCTCTCTCTCTCTCTATAAAAACTATCACATGGTAATGAGTATACAGCCACTCCTACAGAAGTCCTATTTAATGCGTTCTCACAGCGTTACTGAGGAGATTTAGAAAACCCTAATTCCAAACCAATGATTCACATAGGTTGGCTCTAGAATGCTGTATGAACCAATCGTTGGTCACCGGTTACCATGGGACTGCATCTCCTGATGTTGTTCCACTGCCTTGTGGATTAGACCTCTGAGTCAAAGGCTTCAGGTGTGGTCCCCTAAGAAAATTATCTGCTTCACTTTGAGCACAGCCCACATACAGATTAAATGACTTGTGTAGAGTATATGTATTCGGTACCCGTTTTTACCAATATTTATGTGTTCAAATAAATAAATCAATATTGTCAGAAGGGGTTTTGTGGATATTTTTAGTCATTTCAATAGTTGAAATTATGAGTCGATTGTAGCTAGATCATCATGGAAAACCTGAAAGTATTGAATGGCCGTTTCGTCCTAGTATGGGACTCCTCAGCAGGACGAAATTAGTATTAGCTTATCACTATTATAATTTAAAACATTATCTATGTGGTTTAGTTTCTTGTATATTTCCTAGGTCCTTGTATATCCGAGGTCTTGTGGACTGCAGATTAGACGGCAGTGAATTATCGATCGGATCAAAGACGTGTAAAACACGTAAGAATGACCTAGAATTCTGATTGGCCCTGCTTCCCTGTCTAGCCCAGCCAGTTGACTCCAGAACGCAAGTCTCAGCCTCTGAGATAAGAATCGCTATATTTCAAACATACTCTGTTTATATACCAATCAAGCAGACCACATCGTACCATAAAATAGAAAATAACATTTGACGTGAAATAGGTATTGACCAGTAGGGAAATGACACGTGAAATAAATATTGACCAATAAGAAAATGACACCATCTCAAGTCCAAGAATAGCATTAAACTTAATAGAATAATTTTTGGGATATTTTCCTGAATATCCCAACACATAGCCCATAATCTAACAAACCACAACAAAACCCTATTTAACAACAATTAGTTGATAATTAGACTGTGAATTTATTTGGTAATTTCTTTGATTATTGATTTCTATAGAAAAAGTTACATAGATTTCTTCAATGTTTAAGACTATGTATCAGTTGAAGCTAGACCACCATGGAACGTCTGGATACACTGGACGGCCGTTTCGTCCTATTGTGGGACTCCTCAGAAGTGTGCATCCACGACCTCACCGCCTGCGAGATTCGAACCCACGACCTACAGGTTCCGCGAGCGAGCATTTAACCATTAGACCACTGAGCCGGTATCCAACGGTGTCAATGTCTAACTTCATAGATTGTTGAAAGTTTAGAAGTTGTATAGAAACTTAGTATAGAGAGTGTTGAAAATGAGTTAAAAAATGTTATCCAATAATAAAGTCATTACTTATTAGGATTCTGAAGGCTTTAAGTTAAGGGTTTATTTGTGAAATAATCTGAATTGATGATTTAAGTTTTAAGAAACTGTTATGTCCTAACAAGAATAATGAATGGTAACTTTGGGGATCCATTTACGGACCAATATTAAACGTATATCTCTATTGTATAGTTATTAAGTAACTAAACTATGCATATTCATATTCCTCTTATTGTAAGCTTTATTTTGACCCATAAACTATTATTATACGTTTTTACCATTCTTAAGTTATACCCAGTATATTAATTACTACCTCCCTCATTCAAAGCCAAGTCTGGCTAATTCTTGTACAAATGTTGTTTGATAATTTATGGTACGATGTGGTCTGTTTGACTGGTATATAAACCCCAGTATGTTTGAAATATATTGATTTATATCTCAGAGGCTGAGACTTGTGTTCTGGACTCAACTGGCTGGGGTAGACAGGGAACCAGAACCAGTCAGGATTCTAGGTTGTTCTCACGTGTTTACGCGTCTTTGATCCGATCGATAAGTCACTGCTCACTAATTGGCGGTCACAAGATATAACAGAAACATAACTACAGTCAATACAATATAAAGCTTCAATGTATTATGTACTCATTCAAAGTCATATAGTTTAATAATTCAAACATTGATTCATGTTGACTTTGTTGAAACAACAGAAGTATGGGGGGGGAGGAGAGTAGTAGTAGCAACAAAAGAATGTTGTTTTTTTTATTTTGAAAGTGAAATTGAATGTACTTTCATGAATTGTATTTCCTATAACATTGGATCATCATTTTCAAAGTGCATACAAAATGTTAATATGTCTATCAAGATAAATACAGATAGTTTAGTTAATAAATGCTTTTACAAAGTGCACACTATAGTTGAAATGATGTACTCTGTTGATATTACCGAAATTGTTACATTCAACCATGTTTCTCTGTATACATATGCATAAAATGCATACATAGACATGTAAACATCATTTAGAATAAACAACGGTACAAAAAGGCACCAAATATATATCTATTGCGTCACATGTCATCATTCGATTTGTGTAACGGCTGGAATATTGTCTGGATGCTCAAACCAAAACACGTAGTTTTCTTCGAGAGCCACTTCTTGAACCTTTAACCTACAGGTCTAATCCATAAGGAAGTGGAACAACATTAAGAGATACAGTCATATAGTAGCCAGTGATCAACAATTGGTTCATATACCATTTGTTCCTTCAGGATCCTGGAGCCCATGTAAACCATTTGTTTGGAATCACAGTTTTCCAAATCCCCTAGATAGACCCTTAGTAATGCTATAAGAAGGCATTAAGTAGGACTTCTGTGGCAGTGGCTGTATACGTATGGTCATGTGATAGAATTTAGAGAGGGAGAACTGACTCTCTCCACCGTCGGTCGTACCAGGTCATTTGGGACCAGTCGACAAGGTGTTTCATCGAGATATTATTCTGAAATTAAAATGAACTTTGGCACTTTTTATCAAAGAAACCGTTCAATTTGTTCTGAGGCTGACTTGTTAGCGCTACACAACCAAAATGCCTAGCTCAGTGAAGTTTCTAATCATTTTATGTGAAACAATTACTATAGAAAGGATTAATATTTTGGTGTTGTTAGTCTTAAAACTAATAGTTCTTGATAACAGGTTGATAAACCATTTGTTTTCCTAAGATCCTAGAGCCCATGTGAACCACTGGTTCTGAATAAGGATTTTCCAACTATCCTACGTGGATACTCTTAAACGAACGATCCCGTTAAAGCACCGGACATTCACTTTTCGTGTTTTCAATTTTGTAAACAATACCCCCACCTCTAGAAGGCAATGAGTAGGAATTCCAAGACAGTAATTGTATACGATTACAATTCTCCAGTTGTCTCAGTATATTTACCATACTGTTTTATGTTAGAGCTACTCTTTTGATTGACTTAATATATCGAAAACTCCACCTGGAACCCCTCTGGGGCTATTACCAAGCCCAGATAAATGAGGATGGTTAGGTATGGGGGTTAGCGACCCCATCCCGTAGAAAACTAACTCGCTAAAAAAATACTAACCAGAAAAATAATAATATATCGAAAGCTACTTTTATGAAGAATCGATATCGCCAAGAGAACAGCATGATAACAGTCACTAGAAGAAGAGGTTATCTACTACACTGCAAAAAATCTAATGAAAATGGTAAGATTTCGCGCCGAATACTATATCTTCAAATTCATATCTCCAACCACACTCATGACCTCATACAGCACAAATGGCATGATCGTTAACAATCTTAAGGAAGAGGTTTTGATGTATCTTTACATCGTACATGTTTCCAATTTCCTCCCAATTCCAAGTATTATTTAAACAATAACTTCTAATTTTTGCTCCGAAATACTGAATACTTTTCAAAGATGATTATTGAACAGTTATATTTTTTTTCAATAGTTGAGATCATGAGTCAACTGAAGCTAGACCACCATGGAAAACCTGGAAGCACTGGATGGCTGTTTCGTTCTATTGTAGCAGTGCGCATTCACGATACCGCTTCGCGAGATTCGAACCCAGGACCTATTGGTCCTGAGACTTTTCACTTCCGTTACTTAAACACACTAAAACCATATAATTTGACGCTTGGTTCAAACAATCAAGTAACATGGTATAATCGTCTGTTGGATTTCTACAGCAGTTGAGTGTAAATAATGATACAGAGTTTTATACCCAAAACTGATCTATCTAATAAATACCCAATTTTTATGGAGGTATTAACCATGAATTTTTTGAAGAAGGAGACAGTGAGTATTGACTACTATGTGAAGGTTCCCAAGCTTTCAAGTGATCGCGTACATTATACATTGACAAAGTTGCATAATACCGATAGACAGTGTATTTGTTTATTTCGCAGAGGATTCAAGAAAAAAACAACTTTATAAATAAAATGAAAAGAAACTTACCGTCTTAATGCTGGATTACTACTGTACGATTTAGCTAGTGCATACTGTAAGTCAACTATACGCTCAGGGTCATCACAATGTCGACGCATTTCAGCAGTAGCAGTTAATACAGTTAATATACGATGAATTAAATCGTCAATATCATCTAAGAATAAACGAATATTTGAATCAGTCCAAAACAACTTCCCAGATGATGACGACGATGTTGTTGTTACTGTTGTAGTTAATGACTTTGTCGAAGTTGATTCTGAAATTCTTTGCATATCAGTTTGTGCTAAACTATGCAAAAGACTTAAACTTGCTTCAAAACCGGGACTTAGTTCACTTACAAGTTTTGATATAGCAATAATTGTCTATCAATAAAGAAAAAGAGAGGTAGAGTGAAGAAAGATTACAATTGACTACTCTGTTGTCAACATAATCAAATATTCCAGACCAATGAATTGTTGTGAACATATAAACTAAGATTCATTGACAATCCATCATATTTGCATCATAGTCAAATTTCATTTTAATAAAATTAAACTAAAATAGGTTAGAGATTGATGAACGATTCTTTGATGATGTAAGAGTAGTTTGAAAGAAAGTTAAAGATGACCAAAGAAAAACATGACATTAGTCCATAAGGTCACTGACTTACAGATTACTCTATGTTGGTAGATAAAAACTATTTCTTTTCGGGTTTGTATGATTATCATGACCTAATATTGGATACGTTGGGCGACATTATTCAGAATCGATCACAATAAAGTTAGATGTATTCGCTCATTTTATTCCTTCACTTCTATTTTTAAAATTATTTTACATTACATTATTCTTAATCGCTTCTCCTTCACTCTTTCGCATATTATTTTATACTACTTATTTAAATTCAGTAAATAGTTGAGTTCATAGCATATTTCTTACACTTATGTTGTAACGCAGGCTTATCGTGTCATATACTGAAATATTTACATAGACTTATAACGTTTAACGTATTTATCATTATAAATACTTTACCTTAATCACTGTAACAGTTATCTACAGCTTTGTGTATTTGTTTAAACGCAACAGTTTCCATATTGTTTTACTTTTGGTTCGGGTTTCGCATGTTGATAAACTGGTATCAAGTTTAGACACAGCTTTCTTTGCACTATCGAAGCCCTTTTTGTTTCATTTAAAAGAATGCATTAAACGCCACAGACACCTCACAAGTTGAGAATCTCTATTGTAGACAAATAGTTGTTTTGTGAACTTCGGTTTTGCGCGTAACTCAGTTGAGTGACTTGGATGCTTCGATAGACCTAACATTACATTTTATTCAAGAAATTCATGTATTCTTCTTGAATCATGTTGTCTATGCCGTAAATGTTTTTTCAGTTCTACTGATACTGTTACTATAGTAGCCCACTGAAGACAATGGTGGATGTGTCCCTCAATCTCGTGGATTAGTTGACTTTAGACATTGGATGCCGGAAAGTTCAGTGGTCTAATGATTAAGCGCCCACGCGCGAAACTGATAGACCATGGGTTCGAATCTGACGAGAAGGGATCGTGGATGAGCACTGCTGAGGAGTCCTAAAGTAGGACGAAACGGCCATCCATTGCTTTCAGGTTTTCCATGGTAGTCTAGCTTCGATTGACTAATGATCTCAACCACTGAAACATATATATATATATATATATATATATCGTATAATGTTATATTCACTTACCTGTAAATGTACACGATGAAATCCAACTTGTTGATGTGTTTCAAAACTACACTTCCATAAACGATATAAGAAACCGCATGCATCTAGACAAAGTCTACTTATCAATGCTTGATTATTCATATTACTATTATCATAATCATTACTATGGGTAAAATGGCTAGTATTTGATATAATCTGATTTGTATCATTAATTTCAATATTTTTCAATCTAGATAGTATTGGAGGTTTATACTTAATAGATGCTGTTGTGTCAGACGACGTTGTATTAATATTATTAGTTAGAAATGATATTTGAGAATTTTTATCCAATAGAGTATTAGTATTGGAATCAGTCGAGTTGGAGACAGGGCATGCAGTTGTTGTTGTTGTTCGTGGTGGTGGTGGTGGTGGTGGTGGTATTGATGAAACTGGTAATGATGGAGAAGAGATAACCGATGATAATGAAAGAAAACATTGATTAGAACATCTTAAACCAGCTAAACAAAGTATGCTTAGAATATCGGTTGATTCAGAGAAGAGAGTCTAAAATTTAAATTCAAAAGAAAAGAAAAGCCACACATGAAAAGTTAACAAATCATATTTGTAATGACTTTCATAAATTTACTAGTTCAATGTTGATGAGATTTTTCTTATTTGTTGTTTGTTATAATTCAGTAGTTTCGAGGTTAAGTGTTCGCGTGTGAGACCGATAGGTCCTGGGTTCGAATCTTGCAAAGTGGAAATAGTGGATGAAAACATGTTTCTGTTTGGACACCCGGGCAGTATCATAAACCACACACACACACACACATACACACACGAATTAAGTGACTTGTGTGGTGTATATGTATTCGGTGACCTTTTGTACTAATATTTATGTGTTCAAATAAAATAATAAATATACTCGTTACTAGTCATAACACTATAATCACATTTATTTATTTATTTGAACACATAGATATTGGTACAAGGAGGCACCAAATACATATGCGAGAAAATAATCTCATTTGGTTTGTGCGAGGGATGTGATACTGCCTGGGTGCATCGTAAGAAGATGCAGTCCCATGGTAGATGGTGACCAACGATTGGTTCATGCGTTATTTGTTCCTTCAGGATACTGGAGACCATGTGCACCATTGGTTTGAAATCAGGGTTTTCTAATTCCCCTAGGTGGACTCTCCATGTCCACTAACCCAGTTAAATCGCCGGACATTCGCTTTTCGTTCTCTCGATTTCGTAAACAACAGCAATGCCACGAGAAGGCAATGAGTAGGACTTCCCTGTCAGATGCTATATATGCGTGGCCATGTGAGAGCATTTCGAGAGGGTGAGTAGACTCTCTCCACTCTCGGCCGTACTAGGGCATTCGGAGGCAGAAGAACACTCTTGAGTGTGACGCGGTAAACCACTCGGCCACTCCGACGTGTAAATAAGCTCTAATCAATCTTTAAACTTAACCAATCAATGATTCTTGACTCAATTTCTAATGTTTGAAAATACAATTGAATGGTCATTTCCCGCTCTAATTGACGATAATACGGCGAAAATGGGTAGGAATATAAACTATTTTTTGTTTCATGTCCTTGATAATCAACTAATCAAGATGAAAGTTTTCTATCATCTAACTCAACAGAATGTGTATAGTTTATCGTCAGTCAGTTAGCTACAACGTAGGACCAGGCACAAATATGTATCGGTCGATTTTTTTTCTAATCATTTAAGATTGTTAGGAAGTTGTAGTGTCGGTTACTATATTAAGCCCAAATAACTTAGTCTAGTTTTTGGATAGGCCAATTTATCCATTCTTCTTGAGTCACGTTTAGACCTTGTTAGTTATTCACTTATCAACGCTGACCTTTTATATGAAGGTATGGGAAACCATACACTTTTTAGTAAGCTGGGATTTGACTTTAAGTAGATTGTATTGTAGTGAATGAGAACATACAAATGGGGATAAGCAAATAGTATTTCAATACACAAAATTACAGAATCTCTTAGTAAAATCTAAGAATCATACAGTAAATACTTCATTTGTAAAATATCAATCAATTTTCTCAAATTTGACTGTTCCTTTGTAAATATCAGTCAATTGTCTCAGACTTCAATGTTCTCATTCTTTCTTTCTCGACTTTCTGCTGACAGATATTTTATTCCTGACAAGCATTCTATACTACTTATGTGGATATAAGTAGCATACATCACAGTATAAATGATTGCCGTCGAAATATACACTATTCCCGTATATTATTATCAATTTAATCCATGTTACTGAACATAACGGAATTGAATAAGCTGAATACGACAAAAGATTTCGAATACGCTCATATAAAAAGTCGGCGTTGATAAGTGAATAACTAACAAGGTCTCAACGTGACTCAAGAAGAATTGATAAAATGGCCTATCCAAAAACTAGACTAAGTTATTTGGGCTTAATATAGTAACCGATACTACAACTTCCTAATAATGTTAAGTGACTGAAAGAAATCGACTCTGAAATAACATCGTGTGCATCAAATGAATCTTATTTAATGTTTCGTTAAGCGATAAATGAAACAAATATACTAAACTTTATAAATTAGTATATAAATTTTAGTCGGTATTAAGAATTAAACAACACGTTATATAACTATTGATCAAGAGCATAAGTCTGTTAGCCTAATTATGTTTTGCAGAGAGGTACTGACTATTTGAAGAGCCTGACAACAATTAATCTAGTGGTTAAGCGCTCGCTCGCGCTCGAAACTGATAGGTCCTGGGTCCGAATCCCACGAAACGAGGTCGTGGATGCGCACTGTTGAGGAGTCCTATAATAACAGGAAACGGTTATCTAATGCTTCCAGGTTTCTCATGACGGTCTAGCTTCAATTGAATCATGATTCTAACTATTGAAATGGATAATGGGAAGCAGTGGAATCCAGTTTGACGTGCATTTCGTCCTGATGATAGTCACTAGCTTGTGCAATAGGGTGAAGTTTAAATTCATTTGGTATTATTTGACTTGTATCTTTCTATTGTTATTTAGAACTGCAATTGATCAGTCTCTTATTGACATATATGCATCCTGCGCAGATTGCCTCGATATAGTCTTAAGTAGTCATAAGCTTTTTTAAACAAAGATGGATAGTGGCTAGCAATGGAATCCAGTTTGAAGCGCATTTCGTCCTATTTTGGGACTCTTCAATTGGATGTATCTGCAACAGGACATTGATCAATTACAGTCTGAAATAACAATAGGAAGATACATGTAACCTAAATGTATCAATTACAACCAATAGTAAGCATAGATAATAATTAAAATGAATCAAAAACTATACATTAATTACCTGTGAATTTTGATTAATAAATACACGTAATGCAGAAAATGTATGACGTATTACATAATCAGATGGATTATTAGATAATATACATATATACGTTTCAATTATTGAACAAAATACTGGATCATTCGGTTTACATAGATTCAATTCTGACTAGAAATAAAATTATAAAGAAAAAAAGGTAGAAAACTATTTTAGAGAGAAAAAAAACATTGATAAGAAAGTAAAAATTAGAAAAATGAATCATTTGTGAACCAAATATGAGATATAGGGGTGAACTCATCGTGATACTATCTAAATTATTAATTGACTGATTACTAGGCGAGACTTTAATTTATGGACGAGCCAATCAGAAGCGTTTTAAATATTTTCAGGTTACGGCGCCAATGTACAATCGGTTCACAGGGAATTTTGTACAAAACGTGATAATTGAACGGCTATAACAAATAAAACGGCGAGACTATAATTTGTGGACGAATCAATAAGGTATAAAATAACAGATCTCGGTAATAGAATATATACGGATGTTTGGAGAGCGTACAGACTCCTACATAGGCTTGGTTATATGCATCGTTTCGTTATCCACAAGTAGCATTTCGTGTACTCAACAACTGGAGTACAGACAAACAATATTGAAGCTATGTGCTCGAGGCTGAAGGAGTTTTTGAGACTTTATCATGGCTCCAGAGGTCGATTATTCTGTAACCATATGAATGATTTTCTCTTCTACATGCATCAGGATTTTAGAACCTTTGAACCTCTTTCTAACCTTGATAAGTTTTTGAACCATATATAGGAAGTGTATCCACTTTATTTCCTCAGTTTTGTATGACATACTTTTACTCTATATTGACTGTTTGCTGATTAGCTAATATTTCTCAAGGTCACTTAAGATTAGATCAAAGGTCGTCCATAAATTAGAGTCTCGCCAACTACTATTCAGTCCTTCATTTCGATATTTTATTGAAAACAGGTATAGTATAATTACGACTTTAAGCAAGTCATCGTCATATATGCAATAAGTTTTAATGATCAATCGTTGAAGGTATTCGACAGGAAATAAATCGGTATGATGAAAAATCTAAAGATTGTATCAAATCATATAGTTTATGCAGTAAATAGTGAAGGGTAACGGATAATTCATAGAGTTTCTATCATGTTTGATATAACTAAAGAATTTACATTTCAGGCAGTAATATGTCACTAAACGAAATGCTCCACTTGAAGCCTCTCTCTGGTGCTACTGTCGGTCTTAAGCTCGGATAAAGGAGGAGGGTTGGGTATGGAGTTAGCGACCCTATCCCGTAGGACAATATCTCACTAGAATAACGCTAACGACATTTGATGATAACAACTTAGCTACTGAAAATTATTTAAGTAGCTCATATTATTCTGGATCAAAAGTATGAGTGATCTCAGTTTCGGTGTACAATGAATGTAAACAACGAGTGGGAAAATTAAGTAACTGTTCTGTAAATATTTCATTCCATTGAGTTTATATTCGTATACTTATAAACGTTGACCAATGGAGTTCAATACGTTTTCTCTGTGAGACAACCGATGAAGGGTTGAGCAAGATCACAGACTGATTGAAGTTACACATTGACACCAATGGGTCCCGATGCATTAACCTAGAGGTTAAGCGTTCATACAAGAGACCAAATGTCCTGGGTCTGACTTCGACAAGCGGGATCTTGGACATGCGCTGTTGAGGAGTCACATACTAAAACGAAACGGCTGTTCAGTGCTTCCAGGTTTCTAATGGTAGTCTAGCTTAGATGGACTTGTAATTTCGACTGTGAAAATGTTTATTTATTTAAAACGAAATGTATCACTGAAAAAGGTCCCAAAAAACTTACTTTAAAAACTGTTGTAAACGTACTCAACAAATCTAAGATGATCAAGCTTGACTCAGTTGCCAAATTCGCTTTTAATAAAACTTTCATTTCTATAACAAAAATAATGTAAATGAGAAACTAGATGTTAAATTCACTCACTATTATATCCCGATAAGAATAATGAAGGGTAAATTTTGGAGTCTATTTTTGGACTATTACTATATGTATATTTTTATCGTTAAATAACTAAACTATTCATATTCGTGTTCCTCTTATCATAAGCTTTATTTTGACATATGAACTGTTATTATACAACTTACCATTCTTGAGTTCTGCCCAGTCTATCGATTACTGTCTCGCACATTCACAGACACATTTGGCTAGATCATGTACAAATCTTGTTTCCTATTTTATTGGTACGATCTAGTTTGTTTGATTGGTATATAAACCGAGTATATTTGAAATACATGATTTATATCGAAGAGGTTGAGACTGGTGTTCTGGACTTAAATGGTTGGGCTAGGCAGGAAGCAGGATCGATAAAGACTGTAGACTGCTCGTACATATTTTATGCGTCATTGGTTCGGTGGGTAACTTACTGCTTTCTAATTGGCGGTACCATTACGTCATACATTGATAGAGGCACAAACCCACAAGTTATAACACTCACAATCTAGATATATGGATTTTAGTTATGTCTTCTTGTTTATTACTTATACAATATGGCAACGTATTGTTAAGACAAAGTGACATTTTAAAACAAAGTTGTAAAACCGTGTATTGAAACAAAATTGATCCAATAAAAGAACTTACTTGGTATATTATCATGTCCTTCTTCAGGGGTTAGTTCATTAACATTTTTAGTTAACAGATCACTTTGTAAATGTTTACTCTTTTTACGAGAAGCAGCATTACTAGCTAGTGCATTGCTCATATGAAGGAGATGACCAGTACCACCAGTTCGTCCAACACTACTGTGACTTATGTGTCTAAATTAAACAAAAAATTAAGTTCAGATAAACAATTAGGTCGCAGATTTGAATTAACTGTACTTTAACTACTGATAACAAAATAAGTAGGCAATACTCAAAGAATAAAATAAACAGTTGATACATATTCGATTTCACTTTATTCAGCACTCGTCAGTAGGGTGTACGTCTGTAATCTTATGCTCCCCGTTAGATTTGTCATTGTATCATCCAGTTTAATGGTCTAACACATTAGCAATAACCTATTTCAGCAGCAACTACTCGTAAGACGGAGATCTTTACAAATGATTAATAACATAGTATTGATTAGTGTCATATTCATCAACCAGAGAAAGTTCAAGCATCAAGATGTTATAAATATATAAGTCAGTAGACACCGTTAAATATCAGAAACACAACAGAAACGGTATATTCATTCTTCGTCTCAGGTTGGGTGGGATATGGCCGATCCGCATACGTTTGACTGATTTACATCTTACTCGATTCTCAGAATACAAAAAAGTAAGGCACTGTAAACTAAGATAACTTATATCTTGTTTGTTTTTTCCACGAAAAAGAGTATTTTGATTCCAGTTTTCAATTGAAGTAAAAAAAACCGATTGTTAGGTCTATCGAAGCTTCCAAGTCACTCAACTGAGTTACGCGCAAAACCGAACTTCACAAAACAACGATTTGTCTACAATAGAGATTCTCAACTTGTGAGGTGTCTGTGGCGTTTAATGCGTTCTTTTAAATGAAACAAAAAAGAGCTTCGATAGTGCAAAGAAAGCTGTCTAAACTTGATAACAGTTTATCAACAATCGAAACCTGTACCAAGAGTAAAACAATATGGAAACTGTCGCGTTTAAACAAATACACAAAGCTGTAGATAACTGTTACAGTGATTAAGGTAAAGTATTTATAATGATAAATACGTTAAACGTTATAAGTCTATGTAAATATTTCAGTATATGACACGATAAGCCCGCGTTACAACATAAGTGTAAGAAATATGCTATGAACTCAACTATTTACTGAATTTAAATAAGTAGTATAAATAAATATGCAAAAGAGTGGAAGCGAAGCGCGTAGGAACAATGTAAAACAAACTAACACCGATAGAAATATAAAAACAAAAAGTTCTTATATAATCTTACTCATATTGTTGAATACAATGTTTACCACGATAACGTAAATGTTGAATAGAAAATCTATAAATAGTAATATAAAATAGGGAAATATAAAAAACATAGTTGAATTCATAAAAGATTGAATGTAATTTTAATAGAGTGTTATCTTGTCTAACAATGTTTCAGTAGTTAATATCACATTAAAACAAAACTCATGAAAGAATCAAATTTAAACAGGTCACATGGATGAGTTGTCCAATAACTATACAAATAGAGCCTTTAGAATTTTTGTGATACTTAAGAACTTCATAAGATTTTGAGAGATACTTATGGAGATAAAAAATTGATGAAAGAAACTGAATTGATTAAGTAAATCAATAAATTCGACAGAACTGAAAACCTCAACAACGATATTCAACCAAGACAATTGTCAACTTTTCATATATGCATCGGTCCAAGTTACCATACATCATTAGCACACAAAGATAAACGCCGAATTCATAGAAGTAGTTACTTCAACGGTAGTAATATATAAAAGAAAGACTGCATATAAGGATGTATTACAGGAAGAGAGAACTAGTTCGCAGAAAGAAAGATATAAAGCAATTTTAACCTCATAGTTTAAGGGAAGATATAGAGTCTATACACCTACACCATTGTGATCGATTCTGAGCCATGTCAGCAATAGTCTCTAACCATTGGTTACGATGTAGTGAAGGAGAACACGGGTGAGGACAACCAAAATTGTATTTAGTAGAAGTTACAGAATTACTTGGTAAAATAGAAAGACCATATAGTAAATCGTTAATTTGCAAAATATCATTCCATCATATCAAACCGGACTGTTGCTAATGCAAACATCAATCCATTGTCTCACATTTCATTGTTCATGCGTTTTCTTACAAATTCCATTGTGTTCTCGCTCTTCCTTTCTTGATCTTCTCCATCTTCTGCTGCCCGACATTACGTTCTTTTAACCACGTTATATACTACTTATATCAATATAAGTAGCACGCACCACAACCATAGTCACGCTGATCCCAACCAAGTACTCTGCATCTACCAACATGGCTCAGACCAGAAGTTAGTGGCTTCAATGACTTATATAATTAGCGCTGACCAGTGCTTCTAGGTTTCCTTCTTATTATTATTGCGCCGAGAATACTCATTTTTGCCACTTGGAAGGACCAGAAATGCTATTGATTTGTTACTTCTTTTCATAATCTATTTTGTGTTTTCAATAGTTTGTGGAATATACTTTTCCCTTCATCTGAACATAGTCTTTTCTTTCTAGTTAACAAGTCTAAGACGCAGTGAATAGCTTAAGTTATCTTGTTGTTATTATCTCAACAATCCTTCATTCCCTTCAACAATTTTAGATGATCCTATAATAATCTTTTCCAATCTAGCATAAACTATGAATATAAGATAAGTATACAACTATGACATTTTGAACGTTTGTATTTAGAAACATCATCAAAAGAAAAAACCATCCGCACGCATCATCAGAAACAAAGTCAAGCACAGAAATCAACAAAAGGATCAGCCTACCATACTATAAAAGGCATATCAGACACTACAGTGAGACTGCTTAAAACTTTCGGAATACGTGTTGAACACAAACCAATAAATTCTCTACAATTAATTCTATGCAAATCAAAGGATGAAATGACAAATGAAGACAAATCAAACAACATCTACAAAATATATTGTACCAACTGCGAAAAAGCATTATATCGAACAAAGCAGGTGTCTTCTTCATCTTTGTCTGCATGAATATCAATTAATTTCACAGATTGAAATCATGAGTCAGTTGAAGCTAGACCACCATTGAAAACCTAGAAGCACTGGACGGCCGTTTCGTCCTAGTATGGGACTCCTCGGCAGTGCGCATCCACGATCCCGCACCACGCTGGGCTCGAACCCAGGACCCACTGGCTTCGCACGCGACCACCTAACCACTAGACCACTGAGCCGGCATCCAACGGTGTTAATGTCAAACTTTAACCAATTAATTGTCAAACACCATGACATATTCTCACTTATACCGATGCATGTGGAAAATTGTGGAGATTTTGAATAGAAACAATTCCAAAAACATCAGGGAAATTTTTTTTTGAAAGCTTAGCACTCAGGGCAATAATCAGCAATCAACAAACACATTGAAATCAATTCAATTTATCAACCAAACATAAAAACGAAAGTTAAATCAATGGAATACGACCAAAACAAAGAAGTAAACAATGAGATGTTTAAGGTTAACAAGAATCAATCAACATCAAAGTGTACAAGATAAGCTGTGAACCAATAATGTGAAGAAATTCGAATACTTCATTTCTACTTATTATTTATTTATTTATTTTAACACATAGATATTGATACAAGCGGGCACCGGATACATATACGCCACACAAATCTCATTCGATATGTGTAAGGGTTGTGATACTGCTCGGGTGCCCAAATCGAAGCAAGTGGTTTTCTTAGGGGGCCACACCCCGAGCCTTCGACTAAAGGTCTAATCCACAAGGCAGTGGAGCAACGTAAGGATATGCAGTTCCATGGTAGCTGGTGACCAACGATTGGTTCATACGCCATTTGTTCCTTCAGGATCCTGCAACCAATCTATGTGCACCAATGTTTTGGAATCAAGGTTTTCTAATTCCCTTAGGTAGACTCTCCATGTCCACCAACCCGATTAAAGCGTCGGAAATTTGCTTTTCATCCTCTCGGTTTCGTAAACAACACCCCCGCCACGACAAGTCCGTGAGTAAGACTTCCCAGTCAGACGCTATATACACGTGGCCATGTGAGAGCATTTCGAGAGGGAGAGCGGACTCTCCCCACTCTCGGCTGTACCAGTGTACTTAAATTTTATACTGATGATATCGTTCAGAAGAATGATGAAAAATCTCCACAACCAAATGTCATCCATCTCTCAGAGAAGAAAATTCCATCATCAAAAAAAAACATAAACAAACATAAATCCATACAAAAAACAAGATTTACAAAAGATGTAACTTACTTTAATATATTCAAAAAATGTAATCTTTCTTGTATAGTAAAACTATGAAATAAACATTTTAAATGTACTAATGTTATAGTAGACATAATATGTAATATACAAATATATAAATCACGTTGACAATTATCAGTTAAACGACGTGGTGCATCGATATTATTTAATTCATATGGACGACGATGAATATGTGGACGTATAATAGGTTGTTTAATTAATAATAATTCAGGAATAAATATCTTTTGATGATTAGATCGTATATTTTGATAAAATGGTAAATGATTATGAGAATGAGAATGTTGATGAACATTGTCGGAATTTCTATTTAGAGAGAAAAAAGAAAAAAAAGACAAATGATTACTTACCACAGAACTGAGTCTTTCTTTTTTGAATGGAGTTTTGTTCTCTGAGTTGGATAGTTTGGTCTTCGGAAGAATGATGAAAGTTCCATGACCAAACACTATCCAGCTCAGAAATGTTAGATCCCTAGAACTCATTTGATAGATGCCTTAATTTTGTAATTTTATTTTGAAAATTTGAATTTCTTTGTTTTCGCGCCAAAAGCGCTCTTTTCACCTTCATGTTGTATTACCCACATGGGCGAATCTAAAACACTGTTGATTCGTTGTATCTTTTAGTATACTATTTTGTAACGCTTCCCAAGGACAGTTTTATGCTGTATATATACGTATGATTTTGTGTCTGTTGTTATCACTCGTGCTTTTGGCTTTTTGCGGAATATACTTCCTCGTTTCAGACTTCGAATTCTCAATTTAGTTAGCGGGGCTAATAGGCAATAGAATAGCTAGTTTATTGGTCTTTGATCACAAGTTTTTGTTCCGTTCGTAGACTAAGTGAACTCATAACCACTTCAAACCTAGCAAAAACCCGATCAAAATCATTCACCTAAGCTACAAATCGTCTCCCCCATCTCAGAACTACGTCTATAAATTGGATTATCTCGATTATGATACCTTCTATATTAAAGAGTTATCTTGCGAGATCTTGAATAAATTCAAAGAATATTATACAAAATCTCAGTATCGAAAAGCTCAGAATACCTGTGCCTCGACCCTTCGTAAATCTAGAAAGTTGTACGAAGAGAAAATTGTTAAGGAATCAATAGAATGTCCTAAACGCTTGTATTCCTATATAAACCAAAGGACAAAAAGAAGAGGAAATATTCCTACACTATGGGGGGACAGTACTGCCTCATCATTAGTGGAGGACGACTCTCGTAAGGCTCAAGTGTTCTCGAATTACTTTAGTAATGTATATACCATGGAAGCACCCTTCCCGTCAGCGTATACAGATCCCCCACACAATCACTGGACAGCGTGACCATTAAAGAACTCGATGTCTTTGGTCTGCTAAATAAGCTTGACATAGGTAAATCCACGGGGCCAGATGAATTACATCCTAGGCTACTGAAGGAATTATCTAACTTCGTTGCGAACCCTTTAAATATATGCTTCAACCTATCCGTAACGCAGGGTCGTTTACCAAAAGACTGGAAGAACGCCATAGTACGTCCTGTCTTCAAAACAGGTACGAAACACAAACCTGAGAATTACCGCCCCGTTAGCCTAACTTGTGTGGTTGTTAAAATCTTAGAAAAGATTATTCGGAAGGAGCTGTTTAAGTTTCTCGATGAAAACCGGATCCTTTCGGAGAAACAGCACGGTTTCAGAATAGGTTATTCTTGTCTCACTAACTTATTAATCGCTCGTGAAAGCCGGTGCGCTCTTAAGGACCAGAAGTTACCTGTAGACGTAGCCTTCATTGATTTCAACAAAGCTTTTGACAAGGTTCCGCACAACCGGCTGTTATATGAGCTAAGAAATGTCGGAATTGGAGGCAATTTATTGATGTGGATAAAAGACTTCCTAGTTGGGCCCCAACAAAGAGTAAGGGTGAACTCTAAGTTATCTAGCTGGGAAACTGTGCTTAGTGGATTGCCTCAGGGTGCAGTTTTGGGGCCAGTGCTATTCCTCTTGTATGTAAACGACCTTCCTCGTCTCTTATCATCATCGGTCTTGCTATATGCTGACGATGTCAAGATATGGAGAACGATACGATGTGAGTGTGATAGCTTAGAACTCGAAAATGACCTGAAGAAAGTATCTGAATGGTCTCAAACCTGGCAGTTGCCGATAAATACTTCCAAGTGTGTTGTGATGCATATCGGTCATCAAGGTACAGATACATAGACGATGAATAACACTGAGCTGCCTGTTGTCCAGACATATAATGACATAGGAGCCATCGTTAGCCAAGACTTAAAGACTACTGCACACTGCCGTGCATTAACCACCAAAGGTTTTAGGACGTTATGGTCAATACGTAGGGCTTTTAGTCATGTCGACGCGAAGACGTTTTTGACTTTGTATACAGTGTTCGTACGTCCTAAACTTGAGTACTGCATACAAGTGGCTATCCCCTGTTTAAAAAAAGACAGTGGGCTTTTGGGAAAAGTTCAGGGAACAGCAGCTACACTGATTGCCGGAATAGCGAAGCTCCTGTATGATGCTCGACTGGCCAAGCTAAACCTTTTCCCGTTGTCATATCGCAGAACTAGAGGCGACTTGATTACAGTTTTCAAATTGCTTAGTGCCAAATTTGCACCTGATATGCCCTCATTTTTCTTGTCTTCCAAAACAGAGAATTTACGAGGACACTCCAAAAAAGTTCACAAGCCAAGAACAAATTACTTGTCAGCTGACTATCGACTTTCCCATCGAATCATCAACGAGTGGAAGTCAATACCTCAACACGTGGTTGAGGCTCTATCCGTCGACTCTTTCGAAAGAAAATTGAATCAACTGAGAGACCACCACTGTCAGGACTAACACAGGCCATCAAGCCTCCTGTCCTTTCCAAACTGAAACTGAATATATTAGGTACACAAAAAAACTACCCAATAATCTTGTAGAACTGGATAGACTTCAAATCAAATAGGCAATAATAGTTCACACCAATTTCAACAATCGCCAAATCGATTTCAAAAATATCAAAATATTATAAAAAGGTTTTTCCAATTACAAAGAAAGGAGAGTTCGCTGAGTCGTTCCATATAATATTTAATCCTACTGCTCTCAATAGAAAAGAAGGTCTAATTATACATCCCACTTGAACTATCTATCCAAGTTACCATGTCAGATATTACTCACATTTGTACACTATTATCGTACAAATAAATTAAACTCTATCCTTTCTCATTATAAAGGTCACACATATTTTCATCCCTGACCTTGCACACATACACACACACACATAAATTGCTACACATGACACTTATGAATTACCTTGACCGAAATGACATGACATTGATTTATTTAGACCTATTTTTTGATTGATCAAGCGTAATATTCTTACTTTGTTTCGTCATACTATTTAAACTTGGATTAATGTTGATCTGGTTATTTATACGTTGAAGAAGTGGTTTACACTGAGTCACGAAACGCCAGAAAATTTAATTTTTCTAATTATTGGGATATTACAAATAAATTATCTACTTAATGGTTGAGATTATGAGTCAATTGAAGCTGGACTGATTTGTGTATGAGCTATGATACTGTCCAGGTACCCAGATCGAAACAGGTGATTTTCTTAGGGGGCCACATTCAGAGCCTTCGACCTAAAGATCTGATCCATAAGGCAGTGGAGAAACGTCAGGAGTTACAGTCACATGGTAGTCAGTGATCAATAATTGGTTCATACTCTATTTGTTCCCTCAGGATACTGAATCCCATGTATACCATTGGTTTTGAATCAAGGTTTTCCAACTCTCCTAGGTGGACGAATCTCCATATCCACAAACTCGGTTAAATCGCCGGACATTCGCTTCAGTACAGTAAAATGAAATTACCAAGATGAATACAAAATATAAAGTTGAAATAGTAGGAGAACCTTATTTTTGAGTATAAAAATAAGGCTAAAAACTCGTATTTATATTAATATGCAAAATGGATAATAATAATAATATTCAAATACTTACTCCATCTCTGAAACATTCATTTCTAATGGAATTCCAATAGAAGGATTAGATATAACAGATTGTGGACTCACTGAACTCATTGATTTTACATCATTAATACGATCTGTATAAATACCAGCTAATGTAAGAACTTGTTTTGCCCAATCTTGATCGTTATCTATAATTAATCATATTGAATAATAACACTATATATGTATATTTCATACAAGTCTGGAATTATTTACTTGAGAACTGAATATTCTATAACTGCTAGGATAGCATGGCTTAGTGATTACAGTATTCCACTTCTCATCATTATGTCATAAGTTTAAAACCTGTTCTAATTACTTTGATCTAAGTATCTGGATAGTGCTGCTGGGCTTCATGGATAAATAATGTTAGTCAGTCAGTCAGCTACAACGTAGGACCAGGCACATATATGCATCGGTCCAAGTTGCCATACATTATTAGCACAACAACATGAACATCGGATTCATAGAAGTGGTTACTTCAATCGTAGTAATGTATAAAAGAAAGAGTGCATATAAGGATATAGTACAAGAAGAAATAATTAGTTCGTAGAAAGAAAGATATGAAGCGATTTTAATCTCTTAGTTTAAGGGAAGACAAATAGTGTATACACTGACGTCATTATGATCGATTCTGGGTCATTTCACCAAGGGTCTCCAACCATTGGTTACGATAATCACACGGACCCCATCCAAGTAGTCTGTATCTACCAACAAGGCTCAGATTAGAAGTTAGTGACTTCAAGCACTGATGCCAAGTTTTGGTTTGGCCGCCCCTAACTTTCTTTCAACCATGCCCAACACTAGTCAGCATTGTGGGTCCTGGTATTCAGTGTTCAGGCATACGTAACACGTGGCCCAACCATCTCAGTCGATGAAGATTTACAACCGCATCAACTGATTTACCATCATCATTCCCCAATACTGTGAGTCTAACCTCACTATTACTTACCTGGTGACCCCAGTAGATGCGAGAAATATTTCTAAGGAATCTGTGGTCAAATACTTGTAGCTTACGAATATTTTCAACTCTTAATGGTCATGTTTTGCAGCCGTAAAGTAAAACAGAACAAACTGCTGCACAGTGTACTCTTCCTTTAATTGATAGATGGATATTTCGCCTTCGCCATAGGTGACGTAAGTTTGCAAAAGCCAAGCGAGCTTTTCGAATCCGTGCTGAGATTTCGTCAGACACCAACCCATTAGGGCTGATCAGACTTCCAAGATAAGTGAAGTTGTCAACGCGTTCGACTACTTCACTCCCTATATTTAGTTCAGGTGTTGACGCAGACCAGTCCTGAAGCAACAATTTGCATTTAGAGGGAGAGAAGAGCATTCAAAACAACAAATAAAGTATGACTCAAGGTTAAATATATGAATGTGTTACATGATGGCCAATTTCTTGTGGAGATTGTGTAATCTTGTAGTTTACATCAAGAACTGACCTTAGTTAGATAAAGATTAGAAACCAGGATAAACAGGACAATTATTTCATTCTGTTATGGGAATCCGCAGGAGTGTGCAATCACGACCCACTAGGGATCGAATCCAAAACTTTCATATCTTGAGCCAAGTGCTTAACCTTTAGACCACTGAATTAGTATCAAATGGTTTAGATTTATAACTTTGATTTGCGATATTATATAACCATCATACAATACCATTAATGTATTACTCCAGACATAACTGAAATCCAATAGCTTAAAGGTTAAAATGATTGCTACGAAATCTGACTCTAATAAACTTAAGGATACACACTGCTGAGGAGTCCCACACTAAGACCAGTGTTTCCTGGTTTTCAATGGTTGAATAAGTAAGATTACTCCATAATGTAAACTACAAGATTATCAACTGATTAACTACTTATTACACCTTTCATTCCCTACAACAGCTGAGTATAATACGGAACTGTTAAAAGCATCAATTTATATATTACAAGACCAATCACAGTTTTACATTCAACTTACTTAATTCATTGTGATTCTGGTTGATTTCATTATTCTTGTAATCACTTGTTAAATTATTAATGCCATCATTCTCATCGATATGATTACCTCCATTTAGACCATTTATATGATCTTTATTATTATTATTATTATCCACATCGGGACCAGTTAATGTCAGTGTACTACTACTTGTATGACTTGACAAAACACAATTTCCACTTTGTGCACTATCCACAGAATGGATTGAATGAGAACGTGGACATTGATTAGATATTATCGATGGTGCATTAGATTCGATGGATGACGTGATAATTGTTGTTGATGGTGGCGGTATAGATGAAGTGTCTTGATGACGTATTCTTTGTACACGTTGCAGAGCGCCACCTGATAAAAGTATTATAGGCATTTAACAAGTAAATATTTAAAAGAAAAAAAAACATTTGTATAAAGTGTTTTTAATCAGTGATTAGTTGCTATTCATATTAAACTGAACATTGGTATGATTAGTTTTATTTCCAAGATGTATATTTTTCGATTATTTATTTATTTGAAAACAAAAATATTGGTACAAAAGGGCACCAAATACATATGCGCCACATAAGCCACTTGATTTATGTGTAGGCTGTGATACCTCCCTGGTGTCCAAACTGAAGCAGGTAGTTTTCTTAGGGGACAACACCCAGAGCCTTCAACCTGAAGGTCTAATCCACAAAGTAGTGGAGCAATGTCGGGAGATACAGTCCCATGGTAACCGGTAACCAACGATTAGTTCATACTCCATTTGTTCCCTCAGGATATAGGAGAACGTCTGCACCATTGGTTTGGAATCAGGGTTTTCCAACTCCCCTAGATGGATTCTCTATATCCACCAACCCGGTTAAAGCTCCAAAAAGTCGCTTTTTGTCCTCTCAATTTCAAAAACAATACGCCAGTGGCGAGAAGGTAATGAGTAGAACTTACCTGGTAGTGGGTGTATACACGTGGCCATGTGAGAGTATTTCGAGAAGAAGAGCTGACTCTCCACACTCTCGGCCATATCAGGGCATTTGGAGGCATCGTGAACTATACCAATCATCATGGTGATATAGTTTGAATTTCTAGTTGATCAGATTCAAGATAAACAATTTATGGAAGCTCGTAAGTACACGCAAGTATTCATTAAACAAAGCTTACATGCAGTAATATATAAATGATGTTAAGATGAATTTTGATAGAGCTGTTAAAACAACACCAAAATAAATCCAGTTACACTTACAGAAAACAATATACAGTTTGATTACTACTGGTCTTATTCAAGTCTTAATGAAGCTGAAAAATATCTAAAATATACTTTCATGATCCATTTGATTATACAGTTCATTGATTTGCAATACACATTCTGGATTCATTTCACAAAAATACTGGACAGTTGTCACATTAAACCAACTCATTAAATGGCCTAGTGTTTTAGAAAATTTATAAAATAAACAGATAATAGATAGTATCTCTGTGCTAATATGATGTGGTAACTCGAACTGATTTACGTACGTACGAAGTTCCACGTTGTTACTGACTGACTGACTGACTGACTGAGTTGAGTTCATGAGTCAATTAAAGCTAGGCCATCATAGAAAATCTGGAAACACTGGAAGACCGTTTCGCCCTAGTATGAGACTCCTCAGTAGTGTGCATCCACGATCCTGCATGTCACACTCGAACCGAGGACTTGTCAGTCTCATGTACAAACACTTAACCTCTAGACCATTGAGTCGGCGTTCAACGGCGTTAATGTCTAACTTCAAACAACCCACGGAATTGCGCCACCGTCCATCAATGTCTTCAGTGAGTTGAATAAGTATAGGTCAGTAACAGACAAAATGAACACAACATAGTTAGTGGAATTAACGAGGTCATAAATACTGCTAAAATGTACCGATCCATTTTATTAATCACATGGTATCCATTACAACAGTGTTGCCTATTACTCATATATGAAACAATGAATCACTTTAATTCCTACGACGCAAAGTAAAAACATAGAAAACTGGTAGAAGTATAAACTTATTTCGATAGAAATAGCTTTTTGGTAAATCTTAAAAGCAGATTGGTTACTTTATTACTTATTCAAGTATATTAATTGGAATTCATTAGAAGTAGTCATCTCAAAACAATTCACTTAAATATAGAATGTAACACAAGTTCCTTTATTAAGTGAAGAATTTCAACCAAATAAAGCTATGGAAAAGCTTTTATTCTCAACCAATAACATACATGAGATTCAGTCTTCTATGAAAATGAAAGATGTACAATTGTACTATAGCAATTGCTTCTTCTACAGTTGATCTATTATCTAATCGATTAAACCTTCGATTAAAGATTACTGAAGAGGAAACTTCAAGTAAAAAGGCCATTTACTTCGGTTTGTGCAGTTAGATAATATCAATCACGCCGTAAACATAAAAAGGATTGATTATGATCACTTACCTTGATTAACTCCAGCAATTTGATCTAATATATGCTTTTGTACTTTGCCATCTTTAGTTAAATAAGCAGCATTAGCAGTAGTAGAAGCGCCAGTTGCAGAACCGCTGTTTGTTGACCGATCATCACTTTGATCACTTGATAGAGAAGATTTTCTACCACTACTACCAGTCTGTGAAAATGAATGACTACTACTAGTTATGGATAAATAAGAATCATATGATCCATTGTCAGAATTCATTGTGTTCTGTTGTTGTTGTTGTCGTGATTGATTGTTATTATTAATTGTTTCTAATGAATAATCACTAAGCATACTTTGTGGTCGATAATTTGATATACTGTTAATATGACTAGTTATATTACCTGAAATATTGGATTTATTTAATTTATTTGATTTATCAATAGAATGTTGACGACGAGATGTATTCAATGTACTAGAATTACTATGACCATCAGTCAGTTGTAAAGATTCTTCATAATCTCGACGTACTGCAGCTGCAATAACAGCTGTTTGTAGAGCACCACCTTTTTTTTAAAAAATAATGAAAGACAAGCAAAATATTCTGTTTTTAATTTAAAGCTGATGTTTCATTATAAAGTATTGATAGTTGGAGAAGCACTGATACTGGATATAGTTCAAGTTAGTGTTGTATCCGACGAAGATTAAAGGGATGGTAATGGACAGGATTAATTTAAGGCCTATTATTATACGTATTAAGTAATAGTTTCCCATGCTTACAGCTCCTTTTTTGGCCTGATCATTACTTACTTACGCCTGTTACTCTCAATGGAGTACAGACTACCGACTAGCATTCTACGACCCACTCTGTCCTGGGCCTTCTTTTGCAGTTCTATCCAATTTTTGTTCATTTTTCTCATGTCTATTTCCATTTCTCGGTGTAGTGTGTTCTTCGGTTTTCCTCTTTTCCTTTGGCCTTGAAAATTCCATATGAGGGCTTATCTTGTGATGCAGTTGTGTGCTTTCCTCAATGTGCGTCCTATCCACTTTCAGAGCTTCTTCCTGATTTCTTCCCCCGCTGGGATCTGATTTGGCTTAATCATGTATGAATGTTATTTCCTATTTTATAATGTAATGCGGTCTGATATGCCTAGTATAAAAATTACGTCTGGTTGAAATATATCATATACTGGAGGATGATTACTCTGCTCTGGACTCAATCGGGAGATTAGGAAGACAAGCTACCGAATCGAGGACCAGTAAGAGCTTTTCGTTGACTCAGGATTATTAATACTGGAATGGATTTCGGTTGGTGTTTATGTCATGTGAATATTGTCAATAGTTGTAAGTCGTAACAGTCAGCACTTATAGCTTCACAAATGTGTCTACATTTTAAGCATTAATGTTTTATGATCAGCATGATTATAACCCACGTCATGCAATCAACTCAAAATATGAAAAAAAGAGATTTTTATGACAGAAGAGCTTAAAACTGAATGGAATTTAGTCGTTTATTGGTTTCAATTAATTATGGTGGTGATTGAAAGTAGTAGACAAGAAACCCTAGATCTACGTTTTGTGCTCATTTTATAACTCGTCAGCAAGGTGTACCTAAAATCTAGAGGAAACACATGCTCCTTGATTGAATCGACACTGTATGACTAAGATTTACAGTCAAAGACTTTACTACTGGTATATCCGGGCTACGAATAATCTCTTATAAGACTGAGATATATTTACAATTGATTGATTTCTGAGAAGTGACAAATACAAAATACGTCAAGTCCTATACAATTGATTGATCACTGGGTGGTGATCAATGTCATGTGTGTCAAGTCCTTATTAGTGCAGATCGATTGCTATCAACCATGTTGCAATGTGGCCACCAGTAGACGTGACTCGAGACAGCGTACACTATTGTGCCATTAGATGGTGGTTGCAGGTAGTCGACAGGAAGGTTGGTCGTGGCCCGGATCGCTCTGTGGTAACGTCTCTGACTGTGGACCTGGTGACACAGGATCGAGTCAGTCAGGGAGCGCCAGTTCCATCAAGATTACAGGTATACCTTGCCGACGACTGCCAAGTAGCAGTAAACACGAATCCAGGGTTTCCTGCCGACTACCTCCAACCACCATCTAATGTCAAGTCCTTCGTTGGAGAGTACTACAAAGGAAGAACCGAGAGCAACGGATTATATTAGTAGCCATAATCCTTCTTATTCGTAGGAAACATGACGCTACGAATGCATAAAACAACATCTAGCGACGCTGAAAACAAGATAGTAAAATAATCCTGAGCTTCATACACACGTATTGCTAATGCAAACATGACACTAATAGTTAGTTCTCATTACCTTTCAACGACTGGAAAATTTCGCATTAATAGCTATAATGTTAGGATTATATACCCTTGTTAGGTCCCAATAAGCATAATGACTGGTTACTTTGGGATCCGTTTATGGACCAATACTATACGTATATTTTTATTGTGTAATTGTTAAATAACCAAACTATTCATATTGCTCTTATTATAAGCTTTATTTTGAACTATGAACTGTCATTATACGTTTTACCATTCTTCAATTATGCTCTATCTATTAGTGACTGTCTCCCACATTCACAGCCACATTTGGCTAAATCTTGTGCAAATGTTATTTTCTATTTTATGGTACGTTGCGGTCTGCTTGATTTGTATATAAACCCCGTATGCTTGAAATAAATGGCTCACATCGCAGAGGCTGAGATTGGTGTTCTGGGCTTAACTGGCTGGGCTAGACGGAAAGCATGACCAATCAGGACTCTAGGCTGCTCGTACGCGTTTTACGCGTCATTGATCCGATCGATAAGTCACTGCTCCCTAATTGGCGGTATCACTACTTATCCATTAACAGGGCTTACAGACCATAAGTTATAACAACCCTGAATACAAATTTTAGTCACATAACTATACAATTGTATAGTCCAATAATAGAATACACTGAAATCAAACAAGTCCTATCAGTTGTCACACTGATTTAAAGCAATTACTTCAATTTGATAAATTTCAATAGATGTAATAAGAAAAGGAAAGATCATTAGAACTATGTGATGATAAATCCACTTGGTGTTGTTTTACTTGTATCTTTCTATTGCTATTTAAGACTGCAAAAAAAAACCACCAAGTGAATTTATACTTCACCCCATTGCACAAGCAAACGGCTATCAGGACTCAATAGCTAAGTGGATAACGAGATGGCGTTTGAGGCGAACGGTATTGGGTTCGAGTCCTGAGGTGGACATCAACTCTGGGATGCAGGTACATCCAGCTGACGAGTCCCAAATAGGACGAAACGTGTGTTAAACTGGATTCCACTGCTAGCCACTATCCATCTGTGATTAGAAAGTATGTGATGATAGATTAGTGTAATACATTTCGAACAATCTGATCACACATATACTTATAAAAACATTTATATATTAAAAGACTAATATTTGAACGAAGAATATTCTTTTCGATAAATTCTCTTCACGTTAGTGTATTCTACGCGCCCAATGGTGACGCCTAGGCTAAAAGACGCATTACCTAGAATGACCAGTTCATTTTGTATTTAACAGTTCGACTGCTTCTGTGGAGCAATTGATATTGGTCGATGTTCTAGGAATTTACATTTTCGTGCTCGTGAACACCTCCCAGTGTGGCTGAACAAAGGTTTGATAGAGAAAGTGAACAACTCGATATTGGCTCATTTAGTACAAACTGATCATAGTGCCAGTGTAGTGAACAAGAACACGGGTGGGGACAATCGAATGTATTTAACACAACAATTACATACTATCTCAATAAAGCCTGAATACCATATAGTAAATTGTCAATTCGCAAAATATTCATGCATCAAACCAAACTGGACTGTTTCTGTTGCAAACACCAATCCATTGTCTCCCATTCCATTGTTCATGCGTTTTCTTACAAATTCCATTGTGTTCTCGCTCTTCCTTTCTTGATCTTCCCCATTTTCTGCTGCCAGACATCACGTTCTTTTAACTCACGTTATATTCTATTCATATCAATATAAGTAGCTCACACCACACCAGTATAAACCAATCCTTTTCAATTATTTATCGGGTCAGTAACTTTTTGCCAAAACTTGTCAAACCTAAAGTCCTTCAAACGGCTGAAGCTATGCGTACAGAAGAAATATCTTCAATCACTCCTCCTCCCCTGGCCAACATTAAGGCCAATTGGTTTTCATTATCCCCACAGCAATTTTTTAACGTGCCGAGTACAAGCGCTGTTGTTTCTCACGTAACAGAAACGGAGGAAGTCTTTTTGACAACATTGTTTCTCGTTGCGTTCCCATCGCTTGAAGCGTTGAAGTCCGCTATCACAAATTATGAAAGATCAACTTACTGTCATTATGTAGTGAGAGATTCGCATTTTGGCAGAGATGAAAACTCGTATGTTAAATTTGTGTGCTGGAGACATGGCCGTATAACATCTAGCGGTTCGTCACGACAGATCAGACGGAGGAGGTAATTTGATTAATGTTATTAACATTTTTTGTCATGAAGGGCTTCCATGAACACTCAATGTCCGACCTTCATGTTTTGTAAGATTATCGACGGCTACTGGACTGTTGTACGTGGGAATGTGCATCACAACCACGAGTGCGATTCCCTGAGGTACCAAGGTAATTCATGGGTGCGCAGGTTAAAAGAGGCCCAGTTTGAAAATGAGCGACCGCTGCTAATATCCGGTACTGCTTCATTCCACATTAGGATTATGCTTACCATTCTTATGGGAATGATCAAGATATCTTTAATATGCGGTACAAAGTGTTCTCACACGCGAACCTTCCTGGTAAGCAATTTACCAATTTATGATGTAAACGATAGGTGATTACGGAAAATTAAAAGCTCATATAATATCTTTGGGTGGGCTTTGCGAATACGAATTAGAGGATGATAACTGTCTATCGTATTTTTTCTTCACGACTGGTGATTAAATGAATTTAGCAGGTCGTTTCTCTGATGTTATTGGTTTGGACGGGATATACAAGACGAATAACGAGAACATCTATTTATATCAGGTCGTCGCCCTTGATATCAATTTTAAGGCAATACAAATGGAAGAATACCCGTTTGTATTGCATTTATAAGTTGCGAAACATTGACTTTTATTTCTGGATTCCTGTTGTTTTTCCAGCGGTCAACCAACAGTCGACCGGTGGTAGGCATTGTGACGGATGATTCATCTGCATTAGCTGCTGCCATCATCCAGGTGTATCCAAATGCTCACCACCATATCCACCATGCTCCCAATGTCTTAAAGAGGGTAAGTTTTTCGTTCATTAACATTAATCCATTAACCGTAATTGTAGAGGGTACGATCATTGGAAGAACAACAGGAATCGAGAAATAAAAGTTAATAACCGACACTACAGGAGTATGAATAGTTTGGTTATTTAACAATTACACAATAAAAATATACGTATAGTATTGGTCCATAAACGGATCCCAAAGTAACCAGTCATTATGCTTATTGGGACCTACCAAGGGTATATAATCCTAACATTATAGCTATTAATGCGAAATTTTCCAATCGTTTAAAGGTACTACACTACTAAAACATTAGTTACAAAACGTATAATGTGGTGAAAAATGTGGATCGCCCAAGGTGTTACACTTTGCCGACAGAAGAAGATGAAATTACGACGAATCATAGAATGGAAATCGGTGTAATAGTTGTATCAGTGACGGTGAAAAAAAACCAAACGTTCAGAATATGATTTGGGATGATATCAAAAGGTAATTGTCAGTGAAAAAGTGGAACTCAAAATCTTGGAGACAATAGGAATCTACACCATTGTGATCCCTAGTGTCAAACTGTTGATTATCGAGTAAACTGAAATCAGGGATTTTACACCTCTACACATAGCTCAGTTCAATGGTAAAGATTAAAGTGATAATAAGTGCAGCAGTTCTACTAGAAACTAATTGTTACCTCAAAAATATAATAGTGGAATTAAAATGGATTCTTGAAAAAAAAGATGGGTTCCATCAAGATAACGAACTCATTTTATTGATGAATCAACATCAAAATAATTTGAATAACATTAATAGTATTAAACACTTTACCTGGAGGTCCAAATGAATCCCAATGATCCAACACTAAACGAATCAATGGAAGATATAATGTACAAATTCTAGCTTGAATTACTTTAGAATTACGATAACGAGGATCAAGTGTATGTTTAATTAATAGATTACGTAATATTGTAATAGGTTGTTTATAATGTTGACTTGATGTTGATTTAAGTATTGCCCAACTTCCAGTATTTATACAACCAGATAATAAACAACTAAGTTGATTCAATAGAATTCCAATTGGAAAATGTTGTTGACAAAATTGATCAGTTAACGATAATTCAAGACCAACATCTAAGGATTCATTTAAATAAATACAGAAATGAAGGGAAAGCAAAGAATTGAATGAATGGTATAAACAAAGGGATTCTACAACTTGCTACAACAAACCAATCGATTTGATAAAATAACATTATTATAATACACTTAGTGTTGTTCTACTTGTATCTTCCCATTGTTATTTAAAAACTGCAACGGATCAGTCTCATGTTGGCATATGTGCATCCTGTGCGGATTGCCTTGATATAGCCCTAAGTAGCAAGCTTTTTTTACGCAAAGCTGGATAGTGCTTAGCAGTGGAATCTAGTTTGATGAGCGTTTCAGGACTCAGTAGCTAAGTGGATAATATGATGGCGTTTGAAGCCAATCGTATTAGGTTCGAGTCGCGGTAAGAACATCAACTCTGCGATCCAGGCACATCCAGCTGACGAGTCCCAAATAAGACGAAAGGTGTGTTAAACTGGATTCCATTGCTAGCCTCTATCCATCTTTGCTTAACATCACAATACTTAATTTCTAAATGGATATAGTTATCAGATTTTCAGGAACATTTGAATAACTAACATTCAGTTAATGAACAAGAAAGGTATATAAATTAACAACGAAAACTACGTCTAAAGTTCTATGATCATAGATCATCTTCATTGATTAAACATTTACATTATCTATATTCTTGGATTATTACAACACAGAGCATATTTCACAGAAACATTCTGGGAATATTATGCAACTAGTACTGATCACTCTCCTTACTGTATGAAATAAAAGTATATTACAACTACAGTTACTATGATAGATAATCGATACTATGAAAACATTCAACAGTTAATGATCTTTGGATATGACCGATTGAATTAGTACAATCTAAAAATTGATTGAATGATTTATGCTGATTAGTTCGACGACTAAATCGATTAGCCAATAAGATTATTCAGACTATGTAATAGTGTGAAATACAAAATCTCAAGTGGAAAAAAATATCCTATCGCATTGATCAATAACATCAAAGTGTTGACTTCTAAAAAGACTACATTCTATCAATAGTAAAATTTCTTATAAACAAAGATGGATAGTGGCTAGCAGTGGAATACAGTTTGATGCGAACTTCGTCCTATTTGCGACTCATCATCTGGAATGTATGGTTTGTTTCAAACACAATCGCGTTATCCACTTAGCTAATGGGTTCACATTCCAGAGTGAACTTCAACTCTAAGATGTAGGTACATCCAGTTGACGAGTTCTAAATAGGACGAAACGTGCGCCCTGGATTCCATTGCTAGCCACTATCCATCTTAGCTTATAATGCTTGTGAATTAAGGCAATATGTACAGTATGCACATATGCTTATAAGAGGTTGACTAATCAACTGCAATCCTAAACATCAATGAGAAGATTCAAGTAAACAATACCTAGTGAATAAAAATCTTTATATCAAAATGCAACAATGACATTCTTGATTGCTTTAATTTTCTAACTACCGACAAGTATAAGTATAATGGGATCATATAGTCATTGATTTACAGCGTGATATACAGCAATAATATGATGAATTTATTTAGTGATAATGGATCAACAAAATAAAACCAATTACTCCACAAATTACAAAGTTTATTATTATTACGGATGGTGATAGTGATATAGAGAACCAATCAGAAGTAACCTAATGAAAGGGTCAATCAATGAGAATCAGAAGTCACTTAAAGGTCAATCGCATTTAATTAGGTCAATGGGTCAACTTCCTAAGGATACGGTGATATATATGAATATGTGTGCATTTTATTCGGTAGTCAAACACATTTTCTCGATCAAGCAGTCAGATGGGGGGTTAGCACTTAGTACAACATGTATCAGTATCAAATTTTGGACATAGCACGTCACAACAGACAGTAACAATTGAAGTTAGAAGATAACTGATAAAACACAAACAAACAGACAACACTCAAACAGAAAATCAGATGTTATAACTAAAGAGTATAATGTGAATTATGTATAATGAAATGAATGATTGTCAGAATTGTGCTATGAATAGTGCAAATAATAGACAATTATACACCAAAAAAGATGGATTTTATTGATATACAATATAAATTAATCAAAAGATTAAACAATCAGGTAACAAACAGATTAACACAAAATGAAACTCATTTGAAACGTAATTAATGAAGGAATACGAATTTTATTTTACGTTTAATGAAAACGACGAATCCCTGAGTTTCTGATTAAGATCATGAACCGAGTAATGTTCGACCACCATGGAAAACCTGGAAGCACTGAACGGCCGTTTCGTTCTATTGCCGGACTTCTCAGCACTACACATTCAGTCCCGACCGTTGGATGCCGGCCCAGTGGTCTAGAGGTTCAGCGTTCGTGTGAGAGATCGAAGGCCCTGGGTTCAAATCCTGCAAGTAGGACCGTGGATGCGCACTGCTGAGGAGTCAAGCAATAGGACGAAACTGCCGTTTAGTGGTTTCAGGTTTACCATGGTGTTCTAGCATCAATCGGCTCATGATCTCAATCAAAAACTTAATAATCTCCACAACTCTAAAGTGAGAATCCCTAAGTGCTTTACAATTACCATAATTCTCTGTTACACTTGAAATTCAAGAAAAATAAAATAAAACAGAGAGCGTAACGTGTAGAAAACGTTTTAAGTACATAAATGGAAAACAAATGGATTTATATGACAATATATGATAATGATAGTTTAGAAGCTTTTAAAATACATGCTAAAATTGTTAACGATTTTGATAATTCAATGAGAAAAAGGATAACATAGCCTATCGTCTTCTAGAATTCCTTTGCAAGCTTTTGATTAGTTAGGTAAATCAAAACTTTCTCCAAGAACCTTACAACATTAACAATCATAATTGAACTAGAAATACCGGGGAATATTGGATAGATTGATTTGTTCGACAATTTTGCAATTGAATTAATTAAAGATTTATGTATATATGGTAAAGAAGTAAAAATTGCACCAAAGAATAATCACAGAAAAAAGAAAATTATATCACTGAGTATCAACTTTAGACTTTCATAAACAGATACATTTAAACACCCCCGGATCGTTGTTGCTATCTTGACGTGGTGGTCGGGCATACCTATCGTGATGAACCATTCAAGCTATACTGGTTGGAACAATTTTTCTAAAGGTCATGCCATGCCAGATAGGTCGGTTGAAAAGCGGTAAGACTAAAAGCAGCAAACCGAAAGTCCGAGGGTGAAGTCGTACTGCTGACTGTACAGAGGTGTCTCCTTCAGACAATCAGCATAACAGCAATACTGCCTTCCTAAAAGAGGGGATGGGGTTAGAAAAGGTCGACCCTTAAAATGTATACTTCGCCTTATCCCATGCATATCCGTCTCCGGCAGTAAGATCTCAACAAGTACAGAGCTAACACGAAAATCACTCACGAAGAGGTCGCGTGTGACCGACCTCAAGCAGTTTTTCTTTGGGCATCGCGGTCATGCTCTCAAGTCACTAACACTACCTTTAGTCCAATTTCCTTCTCAGGCACCTCCAGAAGAACCCTTCTACGGTGTGGGCAACTGGGAAGTGATGACAGCCCTCATACCTTTAACAACACTCAAGACCATTAAATTCATAATCAACCGACTGACACTCGAACACACAGGTTATTACATAATATACCTTTCAAAATTAGTGCTGATATACAATGTATACAATTTGAAATCCGTTTTTTGTTAAATATTTCATACACCAAAAAATTTAATCACACAATATTTGGAGTGTTAAGATAAAGACTATTTCAATGTAACTAGGTGAAAGTTGGTTGTAATCGGTACAAAATTATGTTGTATCAAGCAGTGACATTAATACATCATGTTGAATCATATTTTCTTGATACGCTAAAGAAATGTCACAGTTTATCTTTTTTTTTTATTAGATTGATGTAATAATATATTCTCATTGAGTCAAATATGATCCTTCTGTCATGTTTTACGTTATAAAATTTAACTACTTATTGTTTACTAAGTAATGTAAAGCATTTATATTAAATTTGAGAAGCTGTAGAATATGTTTCAGTAGTTGATTTTTTCTGCAACCAATCTACGCATGAGTAAACTAAACCTGTATATTCATTTTTGTTCATCTTCTATTGATTTTCATTCATTAAATGTAACAAATAATGAATTTTCGGTTGTTTGATCACATCAACTTTATTTCTAGGTACAGAAGTTCCAAGTTGTTGATACATGGATGTAGCGACTCATACAAAGGAAAATTAATAGAAACACGGCTAAGATTATACGGATTTTCAGTAGTTGGGATCATGAATCAATTGAAGCTAGACGACCATGGAAAACCTGGAACCACTGGACGGCCGTTTCATCCTAATGTGGGACCCCTCAGAAGTGCGCATCCACGATCCAGCCTTGCGAGATTCGAAACCAGGTGTCGCGTGCGAATGCTCAACCTCTAGACCACTAAGCCGGCATCCAACGGTGTTATTGTCTAACTTCAACTCCGAATCTCGTGAGGTGGGATCGTGGATGCGCACTGCCACTGATGAGTTTCACAATAGGACGAAACGGCCGTCCAGTGTTTTCAGGTTTTCCATGGTGGTCTAGCTTCAATCGAATCATGATCTCAACTACTGAAATTACTGAAATCTCCACAAAAGCCCTTCTGATATACGGATTTTGTTAATTTGAATGTTATTTTGATCATGATTTGTTACCCAACACGAAAATTATTCAATATAAGCATGCTATAAATGGTTGTTTTCTCTATAGTGGATATACTCACAACCACACATGCGGTCATACTAAAAAAAAATCAATTTTCAAAGTATATCATACAATTAAATACATATTTTTACCCTTGAATCATTATGAAAACCAATGACTAAGTGCACACTAACAACTAATTTCGCTACGTGCTATACTTTTCTGAAAGGATAGGTAACATAGTTTGACTAACCAAGTTAACATGTACATATTGAAACACTTAGATTTGAGCTATGTTGCTTGTGAAATAACTACTGATATAATCA